AGCAAATGTCTAGTCTCTTTCGCTTGCCTACTAAGATGTAGTCACCCAACCAAACCCTGGATGTCGAAAGCAATGTACCAAGGCTTGGTCATCCCAGACCCCAAGGCATGGCTTGGTCATTCCATACCTACCTAACCTGATGGGACTCTACACACTAAGATGGTCTCTACGATCAGAATGGTTTTCATACCTAAGGATGTCTCTCAAGGGTCTTACGTTGAAGGTCTTTATGCCTAATGATGTCTAAGTCCAGGGTGATCCCTACACCCAATGAGGTATTAATCTGCCGGTCACCGGGACATCTTTAGTCGGACGTTGGGCACCATGCCCCCGTTCACAGATTACTAAGTAGGTCACTGGGCATCAAGCCCTCATTCGCCAGTCGCCGCCTTTCTTTTTTTATAGGAAAGGCCCCTAACTTTTTTAGAATCATCTGGAACACAACTCGGCATCCCAGGCAATTGTAAATTGTTGCAGCACCAGAACACCCGGTCCCTCATCATTATATACTTGGATAATGGATTCTGATTCAAGATTCCCCCATTTATCATAACCCATTTATCATACTGGGGGCAGAGCAATGAGTCATATGATAGCAATATGCATATGATGGCAAGGTCCAAAAGCCTGGTGTACCAACCTTTATACACCAAGCCAACCAAATGCCTAGTTTCGTCGAAACAAACAATTAGGTTTCAATTTGAACCATCAAATTCGGCGACAAGTGTGAAGACGAAAATGGAGTGTATTGTCGGTGGAGATTTTAGTATTTTATGCCCTTGTACTTTGAGAAATTTATTTTATAACGATTAAGTGGGTTCAAGATGTGGGTTGTACGGGCCAAGTATGGGTCAAGTGCTAGAGGTTCCGGGATTCTTTTTGGACATTTTTTTTAGGCACGACTCTTAAAAATGCAATTAAAGTTATTTTCAGATCTCAAGTAAGTTCATTCTCAATTTTCAGATATATCTAAAATTGGGAGTCATTTAGCATTTGCAAACATAATTTGGAGTAAAATAGGTGTATAAGACCAAGTTAAAAGCACGAGGCAAAATTCTCCATCACCCAGTGTTTGGCTTTTATTATTATTATTATTTTTTATAATGGGTGTGCCAAGGTTTGTTTCGACCCAAACAGTTAAATGGATAGCCAAAATATCCAAAAAATTAGCCTCTAAATGGAATCAGACGATTATTGGAAGATAAGGATGACCCCTTCCTCCAGGTTCTTCAATGCCTCAATTAAGAGGACTTTTAACAACAATGGAGGAATGGATGAAGGGTGCAAAGAAAATTGCACAAGTGTTTATCAATTCTAGAAAAAATAACTTAGAATACAAACGTTCTTCTTTTATTAAATAAGTAGATTCCTATACAATAAGTACAAGAAGAGTTTTAATCTAAACCTAACACTAAACTACTTGTATGGAAAGTAGTACAAATAAATACAGCAAGTAAATAAAGGCTACATTGTAAGAAAGGAAATTATGATGGTTAGTGAGGACCTCTTGTTTAGATCCTTTCACCACTATTTATAGAGACTCCTTCCAGCAATTGAAAACAGTTGCACTTCTTACACTGTTTGAAATTGAATTCCTTATTTGAATTCAAGCATTCTTGTCTTAAATGTATCTCTTCTTCAAAGAGCAACATACTTATCCACAAAGTGAGGACTTCTGATGGCATGGCATCATGATCAAAGTCTTCTTTACATTTTGTCATCACATGGCGTATATAACTTTGTTTCTAACTAAAAGTCTTGTAATAGTATTCTACAATTGCAACCAAAACAACACATCATTCTCCTAATCGGATATCGCCATGTGGCTAGCTGGGAATTATTTTTAAGATACAAATACTAATAAGTGTTGCCAACAAATTCACTTTTAAGTAGAAGTCTTTTAGAATAACAATATTCAATTATTATCACTAAACATGTGGTTGAATTAAAATTTTATTTTAGGGTGCAAACACCAAGTTTGACTAAACCCTTCGGCGAAGCTCGAAGTGTGAGGGCGTCGGCGAAAAGGAGTAGTGAAGGTTCTAATTGGGTTTCACTCTCTTGAATTTGTGTTTCAAACCCTCTATTTCATTCAAAACCGCTTCTAAATTCCTATGATAATCATTCAGCCATCTCTATATTCTTTTGACCCATCGCTGTTGTTAAATCAATTGTCTTCTCCGGCAATACTTCCTCTAAAATTTCTTTGATACTCCGGACAATCTGTAACTGTTACACAATATATATAAACGCACACACATGTAAAAGGAGGAAGAGAGAAAGGCTAAGTCGGCAAGAATTTTATTTATTTATCTTAATACGCGAAGAAGAAGATGAATAGTGTTTGTACTGTGTGTGTGTGTGTGTGTGTGTGGACTGAAGGGATAAGGGCGTAACAGTAAGATAAAGGTATGTTTGGGTGTAATGGTCACAATAAGGGGTAATAAAGTCTTTTAATGCTCATTAGGGCATTATGGCTATTGAATATATATTGTGTGATCACATGACCGCACGTGATCATTTTAACGATGAGATTCAACTGATAGCTTGCCAGGTAGGGCTATCTGCAACAAAAATATAACTTTTAAGGGTCAAGTGCAAACACCATCCCTCAAGTATGCATATAATGCATATCACACCCCTCCCGTGCAAAAAACACCTCTCAAGTTTCAATGTGGTGCAATTAGGTCCCCCTCACACATTTAAAACTTAAATTGACCAAAATACCCTTACTAAAGCATTTTATTAAATATATAAAAATAATTTTTTTTTGTAAAAAGACCAAAAAGGACACACTAAAGCAATGACATCGTTTTGCAAGCAGTATACCCATTTTCATTAAAACATTAAATCATTCCATTTTCCATTCATTTACATCATCACTGCCTCACGATCTTGAGAGAGCGACCACAAACCCTAGCCGGTTGCAATTGCAACCTCACGTTTTTGATACCAAAAACCCAAGATCCATTCTCATCATCACGAGGAGGGGTCACGTTCTATAGAGAGAAACCAAAACCCTAGCCTTAGGTTGCGATCGTGATCATGATTTTCCATTGCAAACCAAAAACCCTAGCTTTAAGTTCCATTAACCCTAAACGTATAAATCGTTTAAAGATCGAAGGTTGGTTCGTGTCCTTCTGCGAAACCTGAATATAAGTTCTTGGTAACCCTTATTTATCTTTCTATTTTATTTATGTCCATGTGATTTTTCTCTCAATAAGGATTTTAATTTCCTTCTCTGTTAGGGTTTCTTTTCTTCTTTGTTAGGGTTTTATTTCCTTCTCTGTTAGGGTTTTTTCCTTATTTGGTATGTTATTTATTTATTTATTAGAGTTTTAATATATGTGATTTATTGATGGGTATTTTTTTCGCTCTCTATTAAATCACCGCACTACATTTCCTTCTTTATTAAGGTTTTTTTCCCTTCTCTATTAAGGTAATTTTCCTTCTTTGTTAAGGTTTTTTTTATTTTCCTTCTTTGTTATGTTTTTTTTTTTTCCTTTTCTCTCTATTAGAGTTTTAATATATGTAATTTATTGATAGGTATTTTTTTCTTTCTCTGTTAAATCACAGCACTACATTTCTTTCTCTATTAGGGTTTTTTTTCCTTCTATGTTAGGGTAATTTTCCTTCTTTGTTAAGGTTTTTTTTTTCCTTTTTTGTTTTTTTGTTTTTTTTTTTTTTGTTTTTTCCTCTCTCTATTAGAGTTTTAATATATGTAATTTATTAATAGGTATTTTTTTCTCTCTCAATTAAATCACCGCACTACATTTCCTTCTCTATTAAGGTTTTTTTCCTTCTCTTTAGTGTAATTTTTCTTCTTTGTTAAGGTTTTTTTTTTTCTTTTTTTTTTTTTTTTTTTTTCCTTCTTTGGATTTCTATATATCTATTTCTCTCTCTATAGTATGTCTATAAAGTTAAGCTTTTATTTTTTTTATTTTGTAATTAACTGATTGAATGTTACGACTCTGTATTTTTTTTCCTTTTGACTTTTTGACTAATGATTGATTTTGTGATCCATATTACAGTGGTTTGTCCAAAGGGCTAAATTTATATTCATTTGATACAAATGATTGATTTTGTGATCTATATTACAGTGGTTTTTCTTTCCTTTTTTGTTAGGGTTTTTGTTTTAAATTTTTTTTCTAACTGTTTTTGTGGTCCCAAGCATAACATATTGATTGCTTTTGTGGTCCCTAGCATAACATATTGATTGCGTTTGTGGTCCCTAGCATAACAGATTATTTATATATATATATATATATATATATATATTTTCCTAGAAGTTGTCAAATTGGCTATTTCTATCTTCATTCAATACATTTTTGCCATTTTATATGTTTGTGTTGTTTGTTTATGTAGTTAAGAGTTACTGGTTCTCATAATGGTGGACCACATAGCCTAAAAAGTTAGGTTTTTTTAATTATTGTCTTTAAATAATTACATAGCCTAAAAAGTTAGGTTTTTTTTTATTTTTTATTATTGTCTTTAAATAATTATTCCAAACACACTGCAATTTTATTGTTTATTGCTACACATTATTATTTATTGTACATGTATACTGACTTTAATATTGCATGTCTATAATAACTTTATTATTTTTAATTTCCATATTGTTCTTTATTGTACATGTATACTAACCATGTTTTTTAGTGTCCATGCCATACATATTGTATGATGGATCTATAGATCCCGCTCTGATATGCATGGATATTTTCAGAGTTTTACTTATTGTTAATGGTGTTGTGTACTTTGTAACTATTTAGAAGATGGACACAAGTCATTTAATTCATCTGCATCATTTGGGCAATTTCGACAAGCGTAACAAGTATGTTGAAGGTGACTTGGAGCTGTTTGATAATGTGGACAATGATACAATGTCATACATTGAACTTCAAGGCATGCTCAAAAGTCTTCATCTGAATGCACACAGTAAGATTTTTTACATGGATCCCATCCTTTGGAATTTATTATAAGTTTTTAATGACCTAAGTGTAATGGCTATGTTTGAGACATACAAAAATATTCCACTGATCCGCATTTATGTCAGTAAGCCAAATGAAAAGGATAATGAAGTTGTTAGATCAGTGGAAGAAGAAGTTGACACTGATAATGACAGTGTTTTCAGTGTTGAAAATCAGAATGCTGACACTGATGACAATGCTAAAAACCAAAATGTTGAGAATGAGAATGCTTACAGTGATGGCAATGCTGAAAATCAGAATGCTAAGAATGATGAGTTTGGTAATATTGAAGTGGATGATGAGGAATTGGATGATGTGTCCATGTATGCACCAAGTGATGAGTTATGGAGTATTCACAGTGAATCTGATGATAAAGAGATTAATAGTGCACCTAGAAAACCAAAAACTAAAATTGCAAGGGATGAGAGGAATAAAGAATTGGTTATAGGCATGAAGTTTGCGAATGCTAAAGAATTTAAAGTTGTCTTGAGAGAACATGTTATTGCTAACAGGTATGACATAAGGTTTAAGAAGAATGAAAGAAAAAGGGTCACTGTTATATGTGTGAATGAATGTAGATGGAGGATACATGCCACTTTGAAAGGAAATGGCAGCTTTGAGCTAAGTACAATTAAATCTCATGATCCTGATTGCCCTGAAGCTGAGATAAATAGGCTAGTAACTTCTACCTACATTGCAAAGAAGTATGTGCACAATTTTAGAAAGCTACCTGAATGGAAAAATGATTGTATCCAACACCATGTTGCTGATAACTTGGAGATTGAAGTGTCTAGGTTTAAAATGATGAGGGCAAAGAGAAAGGCCTTGGAGATTATTGAAGGTCACCATGAGGACCAGTTTTCCAAAATTAGAGAATATTTTGCCCTTGTAATGAAGACAAATCCTTGTAGTGTTTGCAAGGTAAAGGCAAAGTTGGAGCCTGATGGGATGTCAACAAGATTGGAGAGAGTCTTTTCTTTTTAAATGCAATGTGGAAGGGGTTTAAGGAGGGTTGTAGACCTTTCATTGGATTAGATGGTTGTTTCTTGAAGACTTCTTATAATCAGATTATGCTTAATGTTGTTGGTAGAGATGGAGACAACAGTTTTTATCCCATTGCACTTGTTGTTGAAGCAGAGACTAAAGACAGCTTGGATTGGTTCATAGAGGAAATGGCTGTTATTAGTCCCCACAAAGCAATAACTTGGATTTCAGACATATAGAAGGTAAATTTGCTATTTATTATTTTTATTTTTTTTGAAGTAATTCAGTTATTTTGTTCAAATGTACTCATATGCAGTTTATATGTAAAGCTGACTAAGAAATTGTTTTATATGTTACCTTTAGGGCTTGGTGGACACACTTACATCTTTGGATGGTGGTCAAGATTACAGGTTTTGTGTTAGGTATTGCATGACTTTAAGAAGAAATATCAAAGACTGATTGCATTGAATTTACATTTATATAAATTGGTGGCATTTATTTTATTTTATTGATTTGACATTGCCAAAATTGGTGTGGCATTGATACTTATCAAAAAAAAAAAAAAAAACTGGTGTGGCATCGCATTGAATTAACATTGCCAAAACTGGTTTATTTTATTTTATTGAATTGACATTGCTGAAACTGGTGTGGCGTATATAAAAATAATATATATATATATATATATATATACGGTATTGCATTGAATTAACATTGTCAAAACTGGTAACATTTATTTTATTGTATTGAATTGTTATTGCCAAAACTAGTAGCATTTATTTTATTTTATTGAATTGACATTGCCAAAACTGGTGTAACTTTGATACTTATCCAAAAAAAAAACTGGTGCGGTATTGCATTTGATTAACATTATCAAAATTGGTGGCATTTATTCTATTGCATTGAATTGTAATTGCCAAAAGTTGTGGGATTTATTTTATTATATTGAATTGACATCACCAAAACTGGTGTGGCATTGATACTTATCTAAAAAACAAAAAAAAAAAAAAAAAACTGGTGTGGCATTGATACTTATCTAAAAAACAAAAAAAAAAAAAACTGGTGTGGCATTAATACTTATCCAAAAATAAATAAAATGGTGTGGCATTGCATTGAATTAACATTGTTGGCATTTATTTTATTGCATGGAATTGTAACTGCCAAAAGTTGTGGGATTTATTTTATTATATTGAATTGACATTGCCAAAATTTGTGTAGCATTGATACTTATCCAAAAATAATAATAAACCGGTGTGGCATTGTATTAAATTAACATTGCTGGCATTTATTTTATTGCATTGAATTGTAATTGCCAAAAGTTGTGGGATTTATTTTATTATATTGAATTGACATGTTTGGTGTAGCATTGATACTTATAAAAAAAAAAAAAAAATTTGTTGCAGCATTACATTGAATTAACATTGCCAAAACTGGTGACATTTATTTTATTGCATTGAATTGTAATTGCCAAAACTTGTGGGATTTATTTTATTATATTGAATTGACATTACCAAAACTGGTGTGGCATTGATACTTATCCCAAAAAAAAAAAAAAACTGGCGTGGCGTTGCATTGAATTAACATTACCAAAACTTATGGCATTTATTTTATTATATTGAATTGTAATTGCTAAAACTGGTGACATTGCATTGAATTGACATTTATATAAACTGGTGGCATTTATTTGCATTTACTTTTAGGACAGTTTGCATTTAGTTTTAGGACAATTTGCATTGATCAGGTTCTTATTCATGCTTTGTTTAATGTTTTTTTTTTTTTTTTTTGCGGAAGGTTGCTTTGTTTAATGTTCCAGGTCATTACTTGTTGGCCAGTTTGTAGGGACTATTGATGGATTTTGGTATCTCAACAACATATGCAGAGCTGTGTAGGGTATGACTTAAATTAGTACAACAATTACTTTTGTGTATGATGGTGAATATAGTACTACTTTTGGAGTTGCTAAAACTAGTATTACTTTTTGTATAGGCTGACTGGGATGACTTGTATAAGCTTGTTTACTTTTTGACTAGGATGACTTGTATAGGCCTGCTTACTTTTTGACTAGGATAACTTAATGAAAGTGGTTCTACATGGATTTTTTTTTTTTTTGTGTGTGTGTGTGTGTTGAAAGTAATATCTTTACTGAAGGTGAAACTAGGTTTTGTTTGGAATGATTATTTTGGTAAATTGACTACTCCGGTTCCTGTAAGTTTATGAAGGTGCATTGTATGTTTTTTTTTTTTTTTCCTATTTAATGTTTAGTGAATGCTTATTAGTAAGGTATTCATTGGTATAGTTGAATGGTTTGATAAATATGGCATTGGTATAGTTGAATGGTTTGATATATACGGTATGCACTAATTGAATGGTTATAACTAATGACAGGTTAGATGAATGAATTGATATGGTTGAATGTTAAGTGATGACAGTTTTTCATTCATATGGTTGAAGTATTAAAGTTGATTGCAATATTTCATGAACAAATTTACAACAGAAACTAAAATACAAGCATGCAATACAGGAAGTCAAATAAGAGATTCACATCACTATCTTAAGAAAAACAATACAGGTAAAGAAGCCAAAGAGAAAAATGCCAAACAAACCACAACATATTCTACCAATAGTAGGTACCGAAGGCTGAACTTCAACAGTTTTTTTTTTTTACTTTTTTTCTCAAGTCTACTATCATATTTTCTAACTCCAATAACCTTTCATCCTTCACATTCATGGGTGCCTCTGAAATTCTTGTTGGTGCTGTAGCTTGTTGCAACTCTTGCACCTCTGTCATAAGATCCCAAACTAATTTACGGTAGTACTCGGACAATTCTTCATCTTTCCACCTTAAAAAACCACACGAACCAGTTCTATAGTTTGCACAACCATAAAACCTTCTACTCAGATTTCTCTCTATATTTGAAATCTTCAAAGGACTTCTAACTTTACAAAGGCAGTAACATTCTTTCGCCCTTCCATATGAGTAAGAACGACTTCTCTTTCGCCCTTCCATATGAGTAAGAACGACTTCTTGAGGTTGAAGATTCCATGTAATATTATTGCATGTATGCCTCTAGCTGAAAAAAAAATAGAGAGAGACAAATACAATATTAGAGAAAGACAAATGCTAGAGGAAGTATAGAGAGAGAAAAAACTAAAAGGGTATATATAGAGAAAAAAATAAAATGTATATATAAATATATATATATATATATATATATATAAGGTTATGTGCACAAAACACCCCTATACTATGAGATTCGTAGCATATATACTCCTTGGACATTTTGGGAAGAGCAAAAGGGTAAATATAAGTATTACAACAATAATTTATGTCAGATTTCTGACGGAGGGGTAATTTTGCACAATTTCAAAAGATTAGGAGTGTTTATTGCACACTTTTTCAAATAGGGGTAAAAGTGATACGAAAAGTATACTTCAGGGTGCTTTCTGCACTTCCCCCAACTTTTAAAGTTTAGGGAGTTTGTTGCATCGCCAATATATATATATATTAGTAAAAGATACGTGCGATGCACGTGATGAATATTTTGTAACTTATAGAAATTTTCTTTTCATATATATTTTTAATTATTTTATAGAAATTATTTTATTTTATTTATATATATATCCTTGTCTAATTAGATTTTATTTTATTAAAAAAACTCATAATAAATAGATAAATACAGAGATTATATGTAACAGAGTTCTATTTTAAAATTAATTAATAAAATTTTTTTATATTAAAAAATAAATACTAAAATGCTAAAACTCTTTACACTTTTATATTTTATTTATATGCATTATTATATTATTATATACTTTCTTTAAATATATCATTGTCTAATAGAGTTTTATAAATAATAAAATAGATAATTTGTGGTAAAGTTTTATAAAATAATTTGTCATTTGGTACAATTTTATAGAAATTATTTTATTTTCTTTAAATATATCCTTGTCTAATTACATTTTCTTTTATTAAAAAACTTATAATAAATAGATAAATACATGTTATATATGATAAAGTTTTAAAGAAAATAAAATAGTTAATTTATGGTAGAGTTTAGGTAATCCGTGTTAGTGTTTTATAGAAACTTTCTTAATATATCCTTATTTAATGTGATAGAGTTCTATTGAAAATAAAATAGGTAATTTGTGGTAGAATTTTATAGAAATTATTTATTTTCTTTATATATATATATATATATATATATATATATATATATATATATATCCTTGTCTAATTAGATTTTCTTTCATTAAAAAACTATAATTTGTGTTAGAGTTTTAGAAAAATTATTTTATTTTTTATATCAATTAATAAATATTTTTTATATTAATAATTCTTGTTTAATTATATTTTCTTTAATTAAAAAACTCATAAGAAATAGATAAATCGGTAATTTGTGTTAGAGTTTTATATAAACTCTTTTAAAAATTTATTTTATTTTCCTTAAATATATCATTGTCTAATTAGATTTCCTTTTATTAAACAACTTATAATAAATATATAAATACAGGTTATATGTGATAGAGTTTTAAAAAAAATAAAATAGGTAATTTGTGGTAGAGTTTTATAGAAATTATTTTATTTTCTATAAATATATTCATAATAAATAGATAAAGACATGTTATTTGTGATAGAGTTTTGTAAAAAATAAAATAGCTAATTTGTGGTATAGTTTTATAGAAATTATTTTATTTTTTTAAAATATATTCTTATCTAATTAGATTTTACTTTATTAAAAAAAACTCATAATAAATATATAATGTGATAGAGTTTTATAGAAAATAAAACTGCTAATTTGTGGTAGATTTTATAAAAATCTTTTTATTTTCTTTAAATATATTATTGTTTAATTATATTTTCTTTTATTAAAAAAACTCATAATAAATAGATAAATAGGTAATATGTGTTGGAGTAAATCTTTTAAAAACACTTTTTATATCAATTAATAAATATTTTTTTATATTAATAAGTTTTGTCTAATTAGATTACCTTTTATTAAAAAAAAAACCTCAAAATAAAAGATAATTTGTGGTAGAGTTTTAGAAAAATTATTTTATTTTTTATATTAATTAATAAATATTTTTTATATTAATAATTCTTGTCTAATTAGATTTTCTTTTATAAAAAACTCATAATAAATAAATAAATAGGTAATTTGTGTTAAAGTTTTATATAAACTCTTTTAAAAAATATTTTAAAATCAATTAATAAATATTTTTTTATATTAATAATTCTTGTCTAATTAGATTTCCTTTTATTAAAAAACTCATAATAGATAAATAAGTAAATTGTGTTAGAGCTTTATAGAAACTCTTTTAAAACCTCTTTTTTATATCAATTAGTAAATATTTTTTTATATTAATAATAATCGTATAATTAAATTTCTTTTTATTAAAAAAACTCATAATAAATTAATAAATAGGTAATTTGTGTTAGAGTTTTTTAGAAACTCGTTAAATATATCCTTGTCTAATGTGATAGAATTTTATTGGAAAAAAAGGTAATTTGTGGTAGAGTTTTATAGAAATTATTTTATTTTCTTTATATATATCATTGTCTAATTAGATTTCTTTTTATTAAAAAATTATAATAAAAGGTAATTTGTGGTAGAATTTTAGATTAATTATTTTATTTTATATATCAATTAATAAATTATTTTATATTAATAATTCTTGTCTAGTTAGATTTTCTTTTATTTTAACTCAAAATAATAAATAGATAAATAGGTAATTTGTGTCAGAGTTTTATAAAAACTCTTTAAATATATTCTTGTCTAATGTGTTTTATTGATAATATAATATGGAAATTATTTTATTTTCTTTAAATATATCTTTGTCTAATTAAATTTTCTCATAATAAAAGGTAACTTGTGTTAGAGTTTTAGAAATATTATTTTATTTTACTTATTTTATTTTATTTGGTAATTGATATGTTTCAGCACTACTTTTAATATTTAATTTAATGTAATATATTAATATTGTTAACTTATTAATGTGTATACAATGCACTACAGTATCACTTAAAAAAACGTTATAATGATGTAATGTCTAATGCACTGCCCAACCTTATCACGAGGATGTAAAAAAAAAAAAAAAAAGGTATGAGGATATTATGTGATGAATTAATTATTTATGAACCAATTGATTTATTTCAATATTTTATACAACAATTGATTTATTAAATATTTTATTATGCATTAACACTTTCTTTTTTGGAAGCAAATAATTATTAATTTATAAAAATTGAGTACAATCCTCTTATCTTTTGTTGGTTGTCGACACAATTTTAAATGTGCTGAATTTGAGGAAGAACGATACGATTTTAGATATGCTTGTTACTCTTCGTGTTCAGAGAATTTGTGGAAAAACGGTTCAAGACTTACCTTTCCTCGATGCCTCTATTTATAGGCTTCTTGGATTAATAGGACGATAATATGTGTCCTCTCTTGATAAGGATATAATTATAAGTGGACCGGGCAGATGAATGTCTTTATCTTTTATAATAATATTATTAATATAAATATAGATTTTGTGTTAAGTTTTATAAAAACTCTTTTAATAATAGTATGGATTTATTAGGGAATTTGTAATTTGAAAGTGCTCATTTTTTTTAGAAACAAATAGATAAATAGGTAATTTGAATTTTATTAGTTATTTTTTTATATTAATAAATAAATATTAAAACACCTTGCACATTTAATAATAGTATATATATATATATATATATATATATATATATTTATTTTTTTATTTATTTATTTATTTTTTGTATTTTACCTTATAATATATAATTAAAAATATTAAAATATTATTAACTTTTCATACTACTTAAAGTCATTTTCGGAATTTAGATCTATTGGCTGGAGTGAAATTTGCTAAAATCGGAACAGAGGTCAATTTAATTTGATTTTTTATTTTTATTACAATTTCATTTCATGTGCACTATGCACGTGAGTTTATAGATATGGTTGGAGTTTATAGATATGGATGGGTGGTAGGTAAGATCAGCGGACAACAACTACCGAGTGTATCATTATTGGTTCGACAGCAACTATATATTATTGGTCTGCGTGTTCATATATATATATATATATATATATATCTTAGAGATAGAGAATCACTGAGTAGGGAGTATCTAGTGAGAGAGAATGAGTGGTGCGGGGAAGACGGTGTGCGTGACGGGAGCGTCTGGGTACATAGCTTCATGGCTCGTCAAGCTCTTACTCCAACGTGGTTACATTGTCAGAGCCTCTGTTCGCGATCTCAGTCAGTTTTCTCTCTATCTCTTTCATTGTTGTATTTATCTGCCACCAATCATACAATGTGAGTTATATATATCGTTTGTTCATCATACAGTTTCCATTATGATTCTGTCAAATTTCAATTATATTAGTTGGAAGAAAATCGAAGAACGGTCAATTTACGATCTTGGCATGCAATTATTTTTGCTTGGTATAGGGTTTTTAAGCTACACACATAATCAATTAATTCGTAATTATCCAGTCTCAATTTACCAGAATTTTTTTTATAATTAATGTAAATTTATATATTTCTTTTTGCAAAAAAATAATTTTTTAAAATTAATTAATTAATTAATTAATTATTTTGTGTGTGTAAATTTTAACTATTTAATGAATGGACTGGGATCCTCTGTGGTACCGGGTACAAGTTGTACCCGGAACCGACGTGCTTTTACTCAGTTAACAATTTTTTTTTTCTTCAGTTAAGTTGCTCTGATACGTTAATATTATATTATATTATATTTAATGTTGTCCGTTATAGATGTATATATATATATATATATATATATATATATATATATATGCACACAGAGAGATACCAGGGAGAGCTCCAAAGAAGAAGGGAAAAAAAAAAAAAGGGAAAATTATATTTTGGTGACCAAAATTAAACATAATTGGTGTAAAGTGACCATAAAGTCAAGAAAAGATGAATAGTCACCAAACCTAAAACTTAATTACTAATAAGTGACCATTTGGTGGTTTATTACCTAAATAACCTTCTTATAATATATTATTATGTAAGTGGACAAATTTACCCTCCACATTAAGTTAAATAAACATTTACTTAAATTGACTAAAAAAGAGACAACACATTATTGGGGTGGGACTCTGAAGAGAAGACCAAGATGGGAGAGAACGAGGACGGATGTTCTACATCATTTTTTTCAAGAATCTAAGAGGCAGGACCAGAAAATTATAGATATAGTTATTATACTTTACAAGTTGATTTGTTTGAGAGATTTTCCTTAAGAAAAAAAAAAATTGTAATTTTTAAGAATTTTTTAATACAAAATTACAATATTTAAGAATTTTTTAACACATAGTTATTATACTTTACAAGTTGATTTGTGAGAGAGTTCTTACTTAGGATGTAAGATTGTAATTTTAGGAATTTTTTAATGCTGCTGAGTTATAGTTTAAGAAATAATAACCATTATTGATTAATTTCAGAATGAATTTAGCCAACGGTTAATGAGTGTTTCAAAAGTATGCATATCTATGGTTTGCAAAATATGAAGTTGTCATATCAGTTGTTATTGAGATTGCTTGGGCTTTGTGCTATCATGGTGGAGAGCCTTGGAAAAGAGAGAAGGGTGGAAAAGAGATAATGTTCATAGATAAACCCTAATTTTTTAAATTGGTAAATTAGAAACTAAAAAGGAAAAAAGAAAACGTTGGAAGAAGAGAGAGAGAGAGAGTAGGAGAGAGAAAGAGAGTAAGAGGATGAATTCAGTGAGTTATTATTTGTATTGGATGGCAATTTTGTCATTTAAAATTTATCTTTAAAATGTTTATCAAACCTTTAAGTGTTCTTGACCAAATTATCCTTAAATGGTCACTTAATATCAATTAAGTTTCAACATTGGTCACTAGGCATCTTTTCTTGACTTTAAGATCACTGTAAAGCAATTATGTTTAATTTTGGTCACCAAAATATAATTTTCCCAAAAAAAAAGGGACAGCGCTGCTCCTTCTTAAATTTTTTTTTTTTTAATAAGAAAAAATAATAATAAAAGGTTACTAATTTTCTAAGAACACCATCACTAATTTTTTAATCCCAGAACAAGGAATAAAATTTTGATAAAAAATAAAAGTTATATCTCAATCTTAAAATACATATAAATATTGGATCGATATCAATTTTTTTTTTTTTTTTTTTTTTTTTTTTTTTTTTTTTTTTTAACTTTTTCACAAAGTTGATAAAAAAAAAAAAAAAAATCTACTGTGGTGAAAAATATTGAAACATATAAATATAGAGATTTAAAAAAAAAATTACACATATACTATGAATTCATGTTGGACATAATAAAATCAATTTGAATTTCAATTTTTTTAAACAAACTTAACTTGGATTTCACCGCCGCACTTACAACTAGTTTCACGACCACTAAACCCACCTTTCAATACATTTGCACCTACTAAAATCTTTAATTTGAACAAAGTTCGAAATATATATATATTTTTAACTCAACACATTTAAATATTGTTCTCATCACATTTATTATTCAACTCAACATTTTTAAATCTTGTTTCTCTGCACATTTATTATTTACTGAACGCCCTTAAATATTAGGTTAAATTGCACTCACACTCCCTGAGGTTTGGGTCAACACCACTCAGCGGATGGTTAACGTGCTAGTTTACATGGACACCCACTGAGGTTTCAAAAGTTATCACAAACACCCCCTTAACCCAAAAAAATGACCATTTTAACCTTTGACTTAGTCAACAAATACAAAAAAAATTGTAAATTACAAATATAATCCTGTAAACTAAAATTTAAAGACCAAAATAACCTTCTCTCTAACCCACCATACCTCCTCTCTCTTTAACCCACCACACCATACCCTCTCTGTCTCTCTCCTCCTAAACACCACCCACCACCATACCCTCTCTGTCTCTCTCATCAGAAACACCACCACCACCAGCATGCCCTTTCTGTCTCTCTCATAAGAAGCACCACCACCACCACCGCTCGCCAATTAGAGGCAAAATTCGTCTGCGAAAGCGACGAGACCGTACACAACCACCCACACACACACATACTCTTCGACGACAGTGGTGATCAAGACGTCGTCGATGCGTTGACGCTTCAGATTGGGGAGCGAATCGGCGATTCCTTAAGACGGCTCGCTGTTAGGGACGTCGGCTAGAGAATCACTCACCATCGCCGCCACCACCCGACCACCACTGTCCTTTACGCACGCTTTACACATTTGATTTGAGGTCGGATTGAGGAGCTCCCTGATCTGAAGTGTTGTGTGGTGGTGGCCGTGTGCGGTGGTTGTGGCAGTGGGTGTGTTGTGTTTGATGTGGTGGTGGGTGTGGCGTTGTGGGTGTGATTGTTTGACGGTGGGTTTGTGGTTGTGGCAGAGTGTGTGTGTGACATTGTGGGTGTGGTTGTGGCGGTGGGTCTGTGGTTGAGGTGGTGGGTGCTGCGGTCTGTGGTTGCGGCAGAGTGCGGCATTGTCGGTGTGGTTGCGGCAGTGGGGCGGTGGTTGCGGCGATGGGTGTGGCGGTGGGTGTAGCGGTCTGTGGTTGCGACAGAGAGTGGCGATGGTGGGTATGAGGGTCAGGGTTAGGGTTAGGGTTAGGGTTAGGGTTATTTTTATCAATTAACAGTTTCAGGGTATATATGACTTTTGAAACCTCAGGGAGTGTCAATGTAAACTAGTGCATTGACCGTCCGCTAAGTGGCGTTGACCCAAACCTCAGGGGGTGTGAGTGCAATTTACCCTAAATATTATTCCCATCAAATTTATTCTTTAACTCAACACCCTAAATTTCGTTCTCACCACATTTATTCTTTACCTCAACGCCATAAAATCTTGTTTTCACTACATTTATTCCTCAACTCAACACACTTCAATCTAAATCTTGAACTAATTAAGGCATTGAGTTGAAGAATAAAGGTGGTGAGAAGAAGATGTAAGGGCTAGTTTGGTGTGCTGGAATGGGCTGGAATGGAATGAGAATATAAGTGGGAATGGAATGAGAATGGAAAAAGAATGGAATGGTCATTCTTATTCCATTGTTTGGTTTCAAACATGGAATGATAAGGAATGGAATGCTTATTTTCATTCCAATGTTTGGCTGGACCATCCTAAAAGTAGAATTGAATGAATTTTTTTTTTCAAAATATTCTTATCAAAATTCAAAATTAAAAAAAAAAACTAAAAATATATAAGAATAAGAATTGATTAACAACAATTTGTAGTATGAATCCACCAACACCAGTGATATCTTTTGAGTTTTGTTGGGTTTGATTTTTGATCAAATCAAAAAAGCAGACAGATAAGCAAGGCAACAACGAGATTTTAGCTAGCTTGTGGGTAACCGGATGGGTAATAGGTGTGAGAGTGTTCTATACCTGTACTCTTCGATTTCCAATCTGCTTGATATCTCTAATGAACATTTATGCATCTATCTCTATGGTGCTTACTATTTGAATTTACATCCCCAAATTACAGATCTATCACCACCTTATCTAACCGGCAGTGTTTGAGACTTATCTAACCGGCAGTGTTTGAGACCGGCGATAGAGATACCAAACCTCCTCTCCACTATTGCACAACTGTGAATACTACATACCTTGATTATTCTATAAATCTCAAAAAGTTAGAAATCGATGTGTTCTTCAGTAACACCGAATTCATCCGAATTCAATTCTTTGCTAGTGAAAACAACAGTGAGATTCAATAAAGCATAGGCATCACAACCCTCTACCGCCACCGCTGCCCGCCGACAATGGTGAGAGAGAAGGAAGACGTATATGGGTGGTGAGAGAGGAAGGAGAGAGAGAGAGAGAGAGGGAAGTGTGGAACTGTGAGGGGAGAAATGGAGGCAGAGGAAAGTTTTTTAGGATCGATCTCTTCTTTCTTCTGAATGCTCGTCTCTGATCTCAGCCTCAACCTCCTCTGTATGATGAGTCAATGCTGTAGATGATTCCCTTTAAATAATAAAAGATTAGCCCTAAAGTTTCCTTTCCTATATAGAAGACATACATAGAAATTCTGTCAAATAAGGACTCCAAAATTCGTACAGACTTCCAGCCCAATTTTGACAAGGTAAACAGCTGTTTTAGGGAATCCTCGTGAAATACAAAATTATAGCTCTTCGAATTTCCTTTCAACCTATGCGGGAATTTAGCTGTTTTGACACTTGAGGACAGAGATACAGTCAGATTACCAAAATGGGTTCAAGTTACCAACTGTGGCGAAAGTTTTCCTTTTTGGAGAAGGATTTTTCCTTTTCTTCTTCTTTCCATTCTCATCAACTTGTGGCTTTTTTTGGACTATTTTCTAAGTATAATTAGACTTGGATCTTCAACATTGTTCGGTCCCACGGAATGTCATCTTTTAAAGCTCAGAATCACTAGTCTTGACAAATTTTACAATTAAAGCCCTGAAATAAATAAAAACAATAAAATAATGTAAAATCACAAATAAACTACTATTAAGATAATAAAACGTGCGAGTAAAGGGGCTAAAATGTATAACATTCAATGCCTAACACCACTACCGCAGGGGGACAACATTTACCCATTACAGCAGAGGATCCAAATCCTGAATGATAAGTGTTTCTAAAATCATAAGAAAGTTATTCAAATGTTTTTCTTTAATAGTGAACGCCTTCGTAGCTCAGCTCGCACCTCGAACTTCTAATATAACATTCTTGTCTTGAATTTTTTTTTTTCTTTAATATAAAAAATAGTAATATTACTATTTTAGAGAATAAATTAAACTTGGTCCATGGGAGATTAACCTTGGAAGAGACACAAATGAACAACACAGCCCTCTCGAAGCTTCAAGGATGATGCCACTATCCACTTTCCTCCGGCCACCTTTTCCTTTGCTTTTCCACCGATCGACAGCACTCCTTCTCCATCAAGTTTCTTTTTCTTCTTCTTTATCAACAGTGCATCAGCACAAAATGACCACCCCCACCTTCCTTCCTTACCCTTCCATCTCGAGAAATTTTTACATGGTCCTGACAAATCACTTCAACGCGCAATTAAACGAGTCAGTCAACTTTTTTCTTGCATGTCCGATAACCATGTAATAATATCTCCTCTTCCTTTTTCTTCGAGAAATTATTAGATGGTTTCAGGACTAATTATTAGCTGGCATGTAAGTAAATCTACAAATTTTATTTTATTATTTTTTTTACTTCCGTGTCAATTACAGATTGGTTGGGACCAATGGTCCTGAGACCATTTGATAATTTCTCCTTCCTCCTTCTTGCTCCCTTCAGCCCGCCTTCCATAGTCGATCCTTCGCCCTCCATGCCCCTCTGTCCCCACAACCCCACTCCTCTGCATTGACCACTCATGACACCTCCCTTCCTACGTTCTAACAATAGCTTTTGCCCATGTCTCCGGACTTTCCATCCACATCTCTCAATCCAAACCACAGCACCTTAGAACCCATGGCTCTTAGGGGAACATGAAGATGAAGATGACGAACCTTTTCTTACCACTCAACTTAGAGCGGCCCAAAGCAGATTCGCAGAGTTTGTTGACATTATCCTTCACACGGGCAACATGTTCCTCACCAAATGTTTGAAACAATTGCAACATGAAGTATGTCAGTATGTGTGAAAGGAAATATGTTCAAACGAGCTCAAAGCCGAAATTAGGGAGCTAAAATCTCAATTACAACATCATGAATCACATACAGCCAGCTTGAACTCTACAATAGTGTGAAATATGTGTGAATGGTAATATTTTATCTCATAGCGTGAGAAACCCCATTACAGATTTTGAAGGACAGAGCCTTAGTTTTTGGCTAGTAATGAGGGAGAGGGTAGGTCTCTCTAACTAAGCAATTGCTATTAATTTGGAATAATAGAGTTAAATTATATATGCTGTGCATATACATCCACTGGGCATTGATGAAGGAATACCTCAATAAAAGCTTATAGGGGTAGACTTGTAAGTTGTAGCCTTTAAAGAATGAAATCCTGAATGGCTTGCAGCAAACTTACTGTTGAAAGTTTCTCTCCTGGCAACCAATGGTTGGCTGCTCTGCTCACCAAGAAGACTTGATTCAATTAGTACTCACGCTTACCATGATTTAGAAATTTCAATCATTAAGGCTAGAAGCAAATGTCATGCTAGAAGCATTTCAAACTTTGAGAAGTCAGCTTGCCTTCTCTGAATATTGTTTCCAAAGTCCACCCTGTAAGAACTCTTAACGTCATTTGGTATCTAGCAACCCTCTCAGTCCATATTCAATTCCACCACACTTAACATATCGTCCTCTTCTGCATTTCTCCATAATTATTTCCGTAATGAAAGTTGAATACATTGAGCTTTGTAAACCTAAAGTGTCCTTCATGTAAGACTAAAGAGAAACACACTATGTCTCAGTATGCAAATGACATTCAAACTTTCCCGCTATCATCACCATAGGAAATCCCTGTGAAGCTTCTGTAATCCCTTTGCTACTGTTAACACAATGGTAATGATTGGAATGAAATATGTTGGATTGCTAGACAGTGGACTCTAGTAAATTTTAGGCTACTCCCTTGATAAACAATCTTTCTTTCATCTTGACAATCTCCTCAAACTACTCCAGCACAGTATAGCAAACTGTCCTCGCCTTAAAAGACGATCCAAGCAGATGGCCTTGCTTTTACATTCTCATTTTTCTCTAAGATAGGCTATGGAATGTTGTATATATTATGTTCAGCTCTCTGGCATCAACTGTACCAGACTGGCTGCTGATTTTAACACATTATTTATCGAGTCCAATCTGTATACCCTTGCAGATGATCCAAAGAAGACAGACCATTTACGTGCTCTTGATGGAGCTAAGGAGAGGCTTCAAATATTCAAAGCAAACCTACTGGAAGAAGGTTCCTTTGACGCTATGGTTGATGGGTGTCAAGGGGTTTTCCATACAGCATCTCCTTTTTACCGTGGAGTCACAGATCCAGAGGTTCTTTGTCTTCCATTTTTGTTTAAATGGTTGTTTGTCTTTCAAGTATGCTTAAGTTGGCATTATTTGATGAAATGGTGCAAGAAACCCCAAAAATGATGCAACAATAATTTTGTAAAGTTTTCCTTTAAAAGTAGGATCTGTAAGTTGTTACAGTATAACGAATAGTAACTACTGATTGGAAACTTTTGTCTGATTATAGAGAAAAGTGAGACAGATACAAAATGTCAAAGTTATTTGCTTCATCAGCAACTGCATAAATAAATCACAGTCTAAGCTTGGCCAAAACCACCTCCACCCTGATACCAGCAGCGTCAATGCTTAAACAATGTTATGTATTCCTAAGCTTTAACTGGGAAAGTTGGATAAAGTCTGTAATAAAAAGATTTAAAAAATTAAATATAATAGGTGGCATGGCTTGTTATAGAAAGAATGGAGAAAGATAATTCATATGGGATATATGCATGGATGATGGTGATGATGAAAGTTGGATAAGTCTATAATTGTTGTTCATAATGGCCTTTGCCACCAACTTCTGCATGAGTCAGTAAGCCTGGAATTCAATCTCCTTTACATTATTAAGGTGTAAATCATACAAGTTTGAATGGTATCAAAACATCCACTGTCCTTTGGTTACAAAGGCTCTTCCATCTCACAGTAACTGTCAATTTTTCTTGTATTTCTCTGGTGCTCTTTGATTGACATTGTGATCAGGTGAATAGGTAGGAAATATTTAGGGGTCATTGCTTGGTTGCACTGGTAATATGCTCGGGCTGTCAAGCGTGATATTTCGGGTTTGAATAGTGAGAGCAACCTTTTTTTTTTAAAAATATTGCGAACGGTTATGTCTGTATTTGTTCCATCCCTCCCAGTACCCTTGATTAATGGGGGATCACATTGGGTAATAATCTTCTATATATGTTGGTAGAATTTGAGGCAGCTTTCAAGAGGAACCCCTTCTTCCAGAAGCAATCCTTCATAATCCTTTCCTATTTGCCTTTAGATCAGGCTGTGGCCAGTTTCTAATTCGATACGGAAATAAGTACCCAGAAGTTGTTCACTTTGGTCTATAGACTAAAAACTTGAGCACAAGAACCCTAATTTAAGCTCATGAATAACTGATTAGTTGGTTCTGAAAAAGTTCCAACATTCCTAGGTATTATCTCTGGTTAGATTTGAATCCTAGCAAATACCACAGTGGTTTCATCTTTGAATTGGTGATAGCTAGACAGGTGGTGTCAGACTTTTCAGGGCTAGACTGGGAGTCAAATGATTATGAAGATAAATGGGGGAAAGAGATGACCTGGTCTGGAATTTGAACAACCCTGTAGCATCTTATGTCGTGGATTAATAGAGAGGAGGTGGTGGTGGTGCATTACTTCATCCACCTCCACTTTGGATTCAACCCCAACCGACCTCCCAACCCCACCCCCAACTCACCACTTTCCTTTCTTTCTACGAAGTTATTTATATTCTTTTCCAAGTCGTGGTTGCTTGACTGGAAACTATATCCTACTTGTGAAGACTAATTGGGAACAATACCAATATAAAAAGAAGAGAAATGAGAGAATTGTGTAAAGGCTTGAATGAGATAATCACTCATTCACAGCTCTAGTATTTGTAGATAAAAAGAGCATATGCTTATATTACAAGAAAGGAAATAAAATAAAATCTAAATAAAATCATAGCATATTCTATGGGATATTCTATAGCATAATAGTAAAAATATAATATAGAAGAAAATGGAGAGAATTGTGTAAAGGCTAGAATGAGATGAATATAACTCATTCACAGTTCTAGTATTTACAGATAAAAAGAGCACATGCTCATATTACAAGAAAGGAAACTAAATCAAATCACAGCATATTCTAAAGCACATTCTATAACAAAATCAAATCTCTGCTAATATGGTAAGTCATTCCATAAATCGTTGTTATCATATATGCTAACACTCCCCCTCAAGTTGGTGCGTGGATATCTGAAACACCCAACTTGGACAATGCATTCTCAAACACAATCTTGCTGACGCCCTTTGTAAGAATGCCTACAAGCTGCTGAGAGCTTGTGACAAATAGAGTACAAATTTGACCAGAGATAATCTTCTCTCGAATGAAGTGACAGTCCACCTCTATATGCTTAGTCTTGTCATGCTAAACAGGATTTGTTGCTATGCTAATGGCAGACTTGTTGTCGCAGTAGAATGGAAGCAATGCTGGAAGGCACAAATCCGTCATCAAGGTTTTAAGCCATAGCAACTCACATACCCTAAGAACCATAGCCCTATACTTTTGCCTCTGCACTAGATCGATAGACAACATCCTGCTTCTTACTGCACCAAGTAACAAATTTATCACCAATAATGGTACAATAATCCGAAGTTGACCTCTTATCGAAAACTGATCCTGCATTATCAGCATTTGTCTAAGCCTCAACACGTAAGCGACCATGATTAGCAAACAAAATACCACGGCTCGAACTCCCTTTTAAGTAGTGAATGATCTGAATAGCTGCATCAAGGTGAGGGGTACGAGGAGAGTACATGAATTGACTCACGACACTCAAAGCATAAGCAAGTCGAGTCATGGATAAATAGATAAGCTTCCCCACAAGTCGTTGAAAATGGAGAGAATTATGTAAAGGCTAAAATGAGATGAATCACTCATTCATAACTCTAGTATTTATAGATAAAAAGAGCACATCCTTATATTACAAGAAAGGAAACTAAATCAAATCAAAATCTAATCAAATCATATTCTAAAGCATATTCTATTGCATAATCAAATCTCTGCTAATATGATAAGTCATTCCGTAAATCGTGGCTATCATATATGCTAACAATAATCAAATCTCGGCTAATATGGTAAGTCATTTCATAGATCGTGGCTATCATATCTGCTAACACAATCTTGTGGACACCCTTTGGAAGAATGCCTGCAAGCTGCTAAGAGCTTGTACCAAATGGAGTGCAAATCTGACTAGCGATGATTTTCTCTAAAGATGAAGTGCCGATCAACAAATCAAAAATGTCTCCTCAGACCATAAACAATTAACAATGTCTCCTCAGTCCATAAACAACCAATCATGTCTCCTCAAACCGTAAACAACCAACAATGTTTCCTCATACCATTTCCCTTTATACGTGTGTTTAAACAATGTAGATGGAAGAATCAACATTATCTCCTTAGACCATCAAAAGAAACAACTATGTCTCCTCAGACTATTGTGTTGCCAAACTCGCAACGCCCTCATTGAGGTCGGACTACCTTGCCTACCCGACACTTCCCAGATAGGTGAGGTTACCTTAAGCCATTCCCGAATGAGTGGTGCCGAACTTGCAATGCCCTCATTGCAATCGGACCACCCTGACTCTGATACCAAGTAGCAATATAAAAAGAAGAGAAAGGAGAGAATTATGTAAAAGCTCGAATGAGATAATCACTCATTTACAACTCTAGTATTTATAGATAAAAAGAGCACATGCTCATATTACAAGAAAGGAAATTAAATCAAATCAAATCTAAATCAAATCACAGCATATTCTATGGCATATTCTATTGCATAATCAAATCTCGGCTAATACGGTAAATTATTCCATAAATCGTGGCTATCATATTTGCTAACAAGAACTATAGACAATGTCTTTGAACACAGCCTTCATTTTAAAACCTACGACTTTTGGGATTGATATTTATATGTTCTTCCATTTAGGCAATGCTCCTTGTCATTCTTTAAAGTATTTCTTATTGTTCTCTTTTGACCGACAAATTTAGACTTACACATTTAGGATTGTCAAAAAGAATAGTGTGCTGCTCTAATCTCTTCATAGTCTTCTTTGCTAGTGGGCACATTCTCGTGTGACATATGAAAAGGTATTGATCATAATATTGACAAGAGTGATCATTAAAATGTTATATGAACTTTGTTGGTATTATTCAATCTGTTCTTCTTCAATAATTGTCTCCTTATCACCTTCATAATAAAAATTTGGGTAAATTACACCGACCTCCCCTGAGGTTTGGGCAAACTAAATGTATTTCATATACTTATCTAATTTAATAAATAAAAAAAATGTCAAACAAAAAGACTCTATTACCCTTTTTCCCTTCTTGTAAACAACACTATCTTACCCTACCTCTTTTTTTCTTTTTCTTTTTTTTTTTTTTTTTTTTTTGTAAAAAAAAGGAAACCTAATCAAACCATAAAAAGAAACCTAATCAAATGTCATTAACAATATATATATATATATATATATATATATATATATATATATATATATATATATATATATATATATATTTTAAATGTAATAATATGAAATTGGAATGAAAATTGATACTTTGCATTTCAATGGCATTTCATGGGAAAGACTACTCTTCTCTTGAGGAGATTGTTGACTTCATGGGCTCTTTGAGTTCATAGGTTCCGTTTTGTCTTTGTATAGTTTGAACGCTTTTTAATACATTTTACCTATAAAAAAAAAAAAAAAAATGGCATTTCATGGTATTTTTGTCATTTCATGTCTAATTATAACGTAATAGAGGTCTTTTAGCACAAGGAAAGGTCAACTTAGTCATTTTTTGAATTTTTATTAACAGCAAGGGGAGTCGTTGAGCACAAGCACCAAATTTCAGGGGAGGTTAAAGTAATAAAGGCCAAACGCTCTACATGTGTGTAATTTTTCCAAACCTTAGGGGAGGTTAGTGTAATTTACTCTAAAAAATAATTAAGGTAGTACTAATTCTCAACCCCTCTCTCTCCATTACAGGCAGAACTAATTGATCCTGCATTAAAGGGAACGCTTAATGTCCTCGGGTCCTGTGCAAGAGCCCAATCTGTTAAAAGAGTTATTTTGACGTCTTCTATTGCTGCAGTTGCATTCAATAGGAGGCCTCGGACTCCTGATGTGGTGGTTGATGAGACTTGGTTTTCTGATCCTGAGGTTTGTAAGGAATCAAAGGTGTGTACCCATTATTTTCTTTTTCTTTCTTCTCTATTTTTTTCATGACGCAAATCGGATTATGCATGTCAAAACACAGTCTCTTATACTTTTGTATCATCATAATGGTGCCATTTTAACAAGAACAATTACTTGATACAACTTTTGTCCACATACCTTCTATATCAAAGAGCAAGTCTATTATGAGGTCAATTGTTGTCATGAGTTCCACTTTAGATTGTCACATTTTGAGCACGGAAACAATGCTGGAGCAACATCATCATGTTGCCCATATTAAAATACCTTAAAGCAAAATCATACAAGTAGGTCAAAGATGATGTCTGATTTTTGTCAAATTTGGTCAAATGATAGAGAAGATAAAAGTTTGACCGGAGCATGTGTGATCTATTTTAACTTAGATTTTTTATGAATTTTGACTGTATCCTCTTTTATCTGGTGTGTGTTTTGACATTTGTTTCATTATCATGGTCAAAAAGCAGAGAACTCATGACTATTGTAATGAGGTCAACCTCATTATAGCTTTTCTCCTAGATCCAAATCAAACAATAGTACAGTGTTTCCTATTGTCTAATTCTTAAGTGGATTGCATTGGTTTCAAAATGAAAGTAATTTTTATGTTTTAACAGAACAATTCTCTGAACATTCTATAATTTTACAACTGACAGCAACTCCAATGAATAATTTTATGTGGTTGTCAACGTTGTTGTCAACCTTGTTCTTGTAATCCATATAAACAAAATAGCGATGTTAAAAATTGCATAGTATAAGAGTAGAATTTTTTGGCAAAATAAGAGAATTATTGTTTCTTTTCCCCTTTTATTAGATTATCAGAATTCTTATTTTCTGGCTCTGAGATAATTAGGTTACTGTTTTATATATATATATATATTCTGAATTTTCAATAAGTAAATATCGTAACATAGACAGGGAAGCGGAGGAGATATAACCTGTGTACACTTGAAGTATACTCGTGAAATTATACAGCAGCAACCAACTTAACCTTATTTTACAGTCCTAAGACAACAGAACTTTGGGAAGTATCTAGATGAATTAATCTATGAAAGGACAGGTGTACAATCTTCAGCAGCATGCACATTTGCTCCTTCCATGAACACCAAATGAGACGTAGGGGAGCTACACCCAAAAAGATCTTCCACAGACTGAGGCATGACCATTACAACCCAGGAAGGCAAAGAGAGAAGAATACAACATGCACCAAATGGCCCATGCCTGCTCATAGTGAAAGGAGATGATTTGGATTATGTGCAGTTTTTTTGGACATGCAATATCAATGGGAATAACTTTTTCGTTGTCCCTAGTTAAGGTAGCCTCTGAAGCAATGGCCATGCAAAAAAAAAAAAAAAAAAAAAGGATACCTTAGAAGGTACTTGAACAAGACAATGCTTTATAGCGAGATCTCATTTAAATCAGCCACTTTTGTTCGGATTCCATCCCAAAACATCATTCGCTCCCTATACACTAGGGTACCCGTGCAGGATCTCTTTCTCGTTCCAGGTTTCATGCTAGAACCTCATCCTACAACCATTTTGAACCACAAACGCAACATACTTGAAAATTACCTCAAGCCATTCTTAATCCCCTTCCAGAGATCAACTTAGCAAGAGCATGTAATTTCCCTCAAAACCAGTCCCCTTCCAGAGATCAACTTAGTAAGAGCATGTAATTTCCCTCAAAACCAGTCCCCTTCCAGAGACTAATCCAGTAAGAGCACATAATTTTACTCATAGTCCATTCCCTATGTTCATCCCTAGACTAAGAAGCATGAACTCTTCTGAATGGGGATCGAGATGAGGTCAGTCAGAAGTTAGGGTGATATTTTGTCTTTCTTTATTTGAAGGACAGTATTAAATCCTAGTAGTTATCTTTTTATCTTTGATAATCATCTTTGGTCAGGATTAGTATTTAGGGTTAATTTCATTGGCATCTCCTGAGGTTTGGACAAATCTCACACGGAAACTTTTTTCGAAAATTACCATCACTCAGATGACTTTTCCGTCACTTTAACCGTTAAAAATGTGCAAAATAACAAATTTATCCCCATTTTGAAAGTCCATTTTAATTCAAAATATCAGCAAACTTAAATGACAAATTTTCCCTCATTAGATATATATGTGTGTATGTAGAGAGAGAGAAAGGGCAGCCTCCTAACCACACGGCGCTGATAATATTTCATTTTTGTTTTCTAAAGTGTTGAATGTCTCTCTTTACACCTTTATTCTTGTTGCTTCCACCAGCTTTGGTATGTGCTTTCAAAGACTTTGGCTGAAGATGCTGCCTGGAAATTTGTGAAAGAGAGGGGTATTGACATGGTTGCAATAAATCCGGCAATGGTTATTGGTCCTTTGTTACAGCCAACATTAAACACAAGTGCAGCTGATATTTTAAACCTAATAAATGGCAAGTGTTCTTTGTCTAGCAGTTTACTATTTATCATCTATTCTTCTACATAAACACTGATATTTGTTTTGTTTCAACTCAATGAATATCTTGGAAGAAAAATATGTAAAATAGTAACTAAAATTTTAAAAACTGTCTTTCCTAAATGATTTTGCCTATCATGCAGAAATCTACATGAATTGGAATCTTTATGTTGACTGGACCATTTCCTCATAATGCTTTATGCCACTCCTCACCTTTCCCCTAGTTTCAAAATCTAAATTTATTTTTAACACAAATTGTAGATTAATTTATATTTGCTTCCGTTGGAAATATTTGACAATGGAACTTGAGGCACTTGGTTACATGGCAATCTATATTTGAAATAGTAAAAAATTTACATCTAAATTTCTTAGAATATTCAACTTACTATGTTAAAATTTCTTTGTTTATGGAATATATGGGCTGTTTATTCATATCTTTATTAATGTAGGATCACAAACTTATTTAAATAATGCTATGGGATGGGTTAACGTTAAGGATGTTGCCATTGCACATATTCAAGCATTTGAGGTTCCTTCCGCCAATGGAAGATATTGTTTGGTTGAGAGAGTTCTACACAATTCAGAAATCGTGAAGATACTACGTGAGCTTTTTCCTGCTCTTCAACTTCCAGAAAAGTAAGTTCTTCGATTAGTATTTATTTATTTATTTAGTTTTATTTACAAGTTGTACGGTTCTTCAGAAGTTGAGGCTCTATATGCATGTTGCAGTCTGCATAAATCTCTTTACCCAAATAGCTGAATCTATTGCTCGAACTATTATATTACCGGTGCTCAGGGTTTATTTATTTATTTTTTCCTTTTATAATCTTCAGATTTGTTGCATCTTTATATGTGATTTATGGCATTTGAGACGGATATAATTTAGTCAACAAGGTAAGAAGCTAAGTGAAAATTTCATGTTCTTATGGTATTTTGGTGGTATCGTACATCTTTGAGTAGCCAAAGTAACATGATATGATGATGCAAGTTTCAAGATGATGCAAGTTTCAACTTTCAAGGAAGACCAGATTTTAATATTCAGTCGTATTTCCAAAACGAGAAAATTATATTTTTTGTGAGGATTAATAAAAACAAATGCATTTTACACTGACAGTAGGGTTAACTTGAGATACTTCCGTTAGCTGATATGCTTTGTAGTTTGGTTGCTGTTGTAGTTCTAACTTATTTTTCTTCTCTTTGACCTTTTTATTATTTAAACCAAGGTAAAAGGTTTGTTCTGCATGAAAAATTGGGAAGACCTACATAATACTTGAATTTGGAAGCCATATTAACTCTTCTAAAAATCCGGCAATTTGTACCCATTATAAGTTTAGCATTCTTTATCTTTTTCATTCTTCTTCTTCTTCTTCTTCTTTTGGTGCACTGTTAAGGAACTTGAGTCTCCAACCTTTCTTCTCCCGGACAGTTTTCAAGACGAGGAGTTTTTGACGCCTTACCACTTGCTAACATATCATAATTTCTTTTGTTTCACAGATTGTTATTGTTTCGGTAGCTTGGTTGATTTTTCTCACTTAATGCTAACATAATTTAAAACTGATTTCTGCATTAGCTTTTATGTCAAAATAGAGCATTAGCTGTATTGCTTCCTTCTTTGTATGAGATATATTCCTGTGTATTGCTTGCATTTTTATTCCTATAAGTTTGTTTTTTATTCTGTTGATAGAAATGGTAACTTATCATTCTTAAAAATAAGATTTATGACTGTAATTGGTCTTCTGGGAATTGAACTGCAACAATATCAATGCCAAAAATATGTGCAGAAGTTTGTAGCTTCTGATGATTTTACAATTATTATGGACTGATACCAATTGAAGAGTGATTCCACCAGTACAGTAATAATTAAATATGAAAAGCACACGATCATCCTGATCTATTAGACCTAGAGGGGGGTCGAATAGGTCTTGTGAAATCTTACGGATATCTATTATCTAATGAAAGGAAAAAATCTACGGAGCCTCACAAGGCTAAGAACAATCCACTGAAGAAAAAGAAATGTATAACCTAGGTCACAATTCAGTACCCTCGAACTCCTAGTTGATCTCTAGACACAGCTAATACCAAATCTTTATGCCCTCGAAGAACTCCAAGTGATCAACTACTAGGTTTACAGCGTTCAGTGCATTCGAGCCTGCTTCTCTATTGATAGTTCATCATCTCTTCGTTCTGTTGAATCATCGGTTGAGATTTCGAGAATTATGTTTACTCTAACATAAACTCATATTTATAGACAAGGAAAGAGTCCAAGATATTTTTGGTAGTTAAGACCTTCTAAAAATACTGTTTTGGAAATAATTTTCCTAACTGGTTTCTATACTTGGATCGATCCATCACCGACGTCGATCAATGAATACTTAGTTCGGTTGATAGTTGATGTTTTTTAACACCTAGAAAAATATTTAGACTTCATTTTTCAAAAAACATGCATTATAAACCCTGAATGTTGTAAATGCATGAAACTAATTTGTAGGAGTGTATCGTAAGGTCAATCTATGTTTAATACTTGTAACCTATTCAAGTGATTGAATATGCATCATCATCTTTGGACCCAACGACACTATGACACAATTACAATCATGTTTTGATGAGGAATATGCCATTACATGACTTAATTTTGACTTTTTTTTTTTGGAAGTTAAAGCAATTCACGAGACTTGAAACCCTGACTTTCCTTTGGGAAGTAGGAGCTTGGTACTGGGCCACTGGTTCATTGGTCACATGACTTAATTTTCTAATAGCTTCATTTATAGTTGGGATCTTAAAATGTTTTTCTGAATTTAATGTAGAACGTGGTTAGTTCCCATAATAACTTATTGGTGCTCTTTGTTGTTAGATTCTTTTGCAATATATGGGTTCATAGTTTTTAGTTTTTCCTAGTTAACGTTAACTGAGATTTTTTGCTCATCTAAGAATATTAAATTCACATAATCAAGATTACTTTCGAGCTTCAAATGATTTTTTTTGTGTATTAATTCATGTATACATGTTTGAAAGTTGAGGTTTTGACATTTGATATTTGAGATGGGGAAAAAGTAGAACCATTATTCACTTGAAATTTTAGATGTTGCAACATACAGTCTCATACTGACAAAATAGCTTTCCAAATTGCAGAATCAGTGGATTTGCCAATTAAATTCCATAAGGTCAATCTATGTTCAATACCTGTAACCTATTCAAGTGATTGAGTATGCATCTTCTTTGCCTTCTCTAAAGTTTTTTGATCAACTGAACAGCTCTATGACACAATTACAATCATGTTTTGATGAGGAATATAACAACACATGACTCAATTTCCTAACTTCATTTGTAGTAGGGGTCGTAAAAAGTTTCTCTGAATTTTATGTAGAATGTGAGTAGTTCCCGTAGCAACTTATTGGTGCGCTTTGCTGTTAGATTCTTTTGAAATATATGGTTCATAGTTTTTTAGTTTTCTTATTTAACATTAACTGAGATTTTTTGCTTATCTAAGAACTTTAAATTCTACAAAATCAAGATTACTTTCGAACTTAAAATGATTTTTTTGTGTTCTTGCTTCTAATATTGATGCTATTAAAATCAAGATCACTTTCGAACTTAAAATGATTTTTTTGTGTTCATGTATGCATGTTTAAAGTTGAGGTCCTGACATACATAAGCCGTCTTGGCATTTGAGAAGGAAAATAGCTACATGCCTATCCTCCAAATTTTGATCAAACATGGGTACTCACAAACACAAAGACTTGCATGGAGGATGGCATAATTCATTCACCAAATGCTGGTCCTTTAGTTTCAGTTTTCACTAGATCAAGAAAAAGTTTTAGTTAGAGAGGAAGGAACGGGGAAAAGAAAGATGATGCTATAACATGAAAATCATAGGATTACACTTTATTAATAATGAAGTTCACAGGGTTAACTTGTCACCAATTGGTACTTCAAACGTGAGCTGTGATCCTTTACTGGGAAGTTTTTTGCTTCTGGTTTTAAGATATTATATTTAGAAGTTTTAAGCACGTTTTAAGATATTGCTTCTAATATTGATGCTATTATGATTTTTGAAGTTCAATGAATGTCTTCGAGATGCTTTTTGAATATACTTTCATAATTGAAAGTGAAACTGTCTTAAATTTCATATCACTGCCCAATGTTAGTCCAGAGGTGTTGGGAGGGGAAGAGATGCCTAATCTTTAGTACTTCTCTTTGCACAATTGACTAATCACAGTCTCGAACCTTACGTCCTTATCCTTGTTAGTAATATGATCAATCTCAATATATATGTTCGAATATCATTCATCTGCTTATTTTTTTGGATACTTTTGCAGGTGTGCGGATGAGAATCCCTTTGTACCAACATACCAGGTGTCCAAGGAGAGAGCCAAAACAGGCTTGGGCATTGACTTCATTCCTTTTGAGGAAAGCATCAAGGAAACAGTTGAAAGCTTGAAGGAGAAGAGCTTTTTCAGTTCCTCAGCTATGTGAAGGTCTTTCAGGGATAAATAGTGATGGGGACCGATATTTTCCTCAGCTTAGTTTCGGTTAATGTTAGCATCTTTCGGGTGTCTATGCTTAAATTTTAGACTGTTAAAACCTGTTAAAGCACATGCTTTACATATTAAGAATGGAAATGAGACTATCAGGAGGATCATAGTGTTGCTTCCTGAAATAAGCAAGCCAGGTTTGTTTGCGTGATTTGGCATTATATATCCCATCATATATGGACAATATATCCATTACAAAATGGCTTTTGCTCACTTGAAATGTTGCTTCTTGGTCTCCCCCCAATCCCCCCTCCAGGCGAAATGTCTATATTTGCTGTCTGAAATCGCGTACACTAGCTAATGTCTGTTTCAGAACTGTCTAGTTTCAGGTGGTAGGTTGTCTGAGTTCTCATAATTTGCACTGATGATCTTTCATTTTTGTTTTGTAATGTGTTGAATGTCTCCCCTTTACACCTTTCTTGTTGTTGCTTCCTATTGCACCCGTGATTTTTATGCCCTCAAGGTGAAATCGTGAACGTAAATGCAGCCGGGGGAGGGGCCATGGCTCATGGATAGATTGTGATGGTAGGGCCAATGTACTATGTGTTTGGAATCACCACCTAACATTAAGTTTTAATGTGCTGGGTTAGCCAAGGGAGGTACAGAGTAGATCAGAATGACGCTTACGAGGTTGGGATGTGGGCCTTAATTTGACACTCAACCAGTTAGTGTGAACCAAATTAATGGGTCTTGGGAAAAGTGTTAGGCAGCTCAACACACATGCCAAGTACAACTACTTACTTTACCTTTCATGTTGCTGACCAGGACCTACTTGAGTTGCCCGCGTATCTCATTCATGCATGTCGTGGTGAGAATTAGGGGTGGCAAAAATTCTCAATTCGGTGGGGAACTGTCCGCCCCGTCCTATTTAAAATGGGTTTAAAAAATCGTTTACTTAAATGGGATGGGAATGAGGGTTAAAAAAAAAAATCAGCCGGTTGCGGAGTGGGGGTTGGGGACTAAGATCCTTGCCCAATACCCGCCCCATAACCGCCTGGTTTAATATTTTAAATTATTAATTTATCCTATCATGTTAATATATTTACTAAATTAACTTTCACTCTTTCTCTCTCTCTCTATATATTGGAAACCCTACACTTAATACTTCCATATATATATATATGTATATATATGTGTATATGTGTTATGATTGTGTTTAATTAAAAATATAATCGGTTATGGGGCGGGTGATGGGGCGAGGGCGGGGCAAGTGTGGTGGGGGCGGGGATGAGGAATGGAAAATCCGCCCCAAACCGTCCCATTGCCATCCTTAGTGAGAATAAGGTTGAACGTAGTTCGTTTATGACAGTTTAAAAAATGGTGAAAGGTGTGAGGTGGTGAGACCAAACCTATGGATTGCTTAGGTTTTCATAGTATCCTAGTTAGGCGAAGCGTGCTTTTGAAAAAGAGGTATCGGGTTTATTTGGAATAATCAAATTATTCCAATTATGATACTCTTGTAGAAAGAACCATAATAAATGCAAAGGAGAGGCATCTTTTACTAAGATTTCTAGATGGATGGAATATGGTATTCCAATATCTAACACATAATTTAAATGTAAAAAGGTGTCCTCTAAAAAAGGAAATATTGTAAAAAGGAGTCCTCTAGAATCAAGATTTCTAGATGGATGGAATATAGTATTCATGTATCTAACACATAAATAAATGTAAAAAGAAGTCATCTAGAAAAGAAAATATTGAATGAATTGATGATTGTAAGTTCTAAGATTTTACGATCATTTGAAAATGCTAATTCTTGTTTTGTCAAAGAAATTTATTTTGGTTAGAATCATTAGTGGGAATAAACAAATGATTTTGTCGATACATTTGACTAATTAAACATTTTACTATTAGTAAGCTAGATTTATTGTCATAACCAACATTTTCTAACAAAATCGATCTATTTAAACCATGAACATGAGCCAATGCATAGACAAACTTAGAAATAAAAGTGGATATATCGAGTTGCTAATATTTATCTAGTTCTAAATATCTTTGGAATTCCTTAATTTGAAATTAGATTTGAATGTAAGGTGGAAGATTTTGGGGGTTATTAAATGATAAACAGTGTGATACAGTCAAAACAAGATATTATAATAAAATAATAATAGATACCTCGGAGACTGGTAAACTTACCAAAGAATTGGGTGAATGTGGTTTGGGTTCATGGATTAGAAAAACTAGAGATGCTTGAGCATAACGAGTACTTAGAGGTGTCCTAAAGGGCATATGAGTCCTAAGGGATGACGGACGAGTCAAAGAGATTTCTTGGAGGGCATACAAGCAGCATATTAGGTGAGGTTATAGGCTTTGACCCTTAAAAATGGGCCATATTTAGACATTTTAAGCTAGAGATGCTTGAACATAACAAGTACTTAGAGGTGTCCTAAAGGGCATATGAGTCCTAAGGGATGACGGACGAGTCAAAGAGATTTCTTGGAGGGCATACAAGCAGCATATTAGGTGAGGTTATAGGCTTTGACCCTTAAAAATGGGCCATATTTAGACATTTTAAGCTAGAGATGCTTGAACATAACAAGTACTTAGAGGTGTCCTAAAGGGCATATGAGTCCTAAGGGATGACGGACGAGTCAAAGAGATTTCTTGGAGGGCATACAAGCAGCATATTAGGTGAGGTTATAGGCTTTGACCCTTAAAAATGGGCCATATTTAGACATTTTCTAGTGTTATGCCCCAGGTTGAATCGGTTCAGTACCTCAGAACCTGTTCCATTGCCTTTCTTTTGGTTTGTAAATGCGCTACTGCCCATGAACTGGTTGAGTTTACTGTTCACAGCACAGTTTTGACCTTCTAAATTAAAATGGCCATAATTTATTCGTTTTAATTCTAAATTAGGTCATTCTTGTGTCCAACGTGACAGTCTGAAAGAAGCTTTCCAATGGTACTAGACTTATTTTAAAATTCCAAATATACATGACCATTTTAGTAAGAAATATTCATGTTTTCTATATGTCAAAAATACCATATTGTATCGAAATCATTCCTCTAGGGACTATATATGATGGGCTTGTATTTAGATATTGTCATTGTGAATACATTCCGTACAAAAATTATTTATTTTCCTACAATTACTTTATTAAAAATGTACAGTAATAAGCAGGGTCGAACCCAAGGAAATGCGATGATGAAAAATTACTCTGAATCCAAATTAATTTAAATCTAAACTAGTTAATCAAAGTGGTTAAAGAATAGATTTTGAAATTAAACTAAATAAAAATAAACATTAATAAATATAAAATAAATAAATAAAGTATCGAAGTCCACCACCATTAAATCCATAATTTCCTAATTCTCATTTACTAACTCTCAGATAAGAGAAACAATTCAAGTGTCACTCCGATTGCTTCATAATTCAAAAGTAGATTTTATTTCACTTAAAAGAATAAATTCATAAGAATCATATGTATCCAAAACATGAAAGACACATGATCAAAGAATTATTTTCTAAGCATCAAATGTATCCAATCCAATGAAAAATACAAGATCAAATAAATTCATTATCAAGAGTTTAGAAATCAAGCTTTGATCAATTAGATATAGAATTAATCAAACTATCAAGAATACATGATATTAAGTCGAAGCAAGAATCATAAACATTAAAATCATTGTAAGAAAAATTAAATAAATAAAAATCAGAAAATCATTTCATTAATAGGTGGTGTCTCCTCAACACTAAAAATACATACTTAAAAACAAAACAAGAAATAAACAAAAATAAAACAAACGCTTGGAAGGGGTGCGAACTACAATCCAGCACTTGGAAGAAAATTTTTGAAGAAAATTTTGGAAAAAATTTATTTTGTTAGTTTGGATAGCGTGAAAAGAAAATGAAAATTATTTTACTTACCAAAAATACCCTTATAAATCCAAATAGTACAATAAATAAATAAATAAATAAATTTATGTTAAATAAATATTATTTATACTTAATTATTTATTTATTTTGGTAAGGAAATAGTGAAATATGAAATAAAATAATATATATATATATCACTTGTCCTACGTGAATTCAAATATTTGTTTTCTCCTTATGTTAGTTTAATTTTTATTATTTATTATTTATTTCTCCTTATTATTATTATTATTTTGAAATTGAGAAAAATAAACTTTTTAATAAACCGAATTTTGTATGTCACGAGTGTATGGGCCAAAAAAGTAGAAGATAAAAGAAGGTTCATACAAAGTTATTTGTTTAAATCCTTATATTGCTTTTACTTCTAACAATACTTTATCAATATAAAAACCAACACATATTCTTATAGAGGCAAAACAATAGTTTCTGCTTGTACAAAAAAAAAAGTGAGCGTCGTAAAGTTAGAGTCTTGGCTCTAGTTTGAACATACATAGAGGACTATGATATTAGGTACATGAATACACTTCGAGTTATGAAACAAATCGAGGTGAGAGATTGACGATAATGAGTTTCAAATATTTGACCAAGAATCCCAACGCTAACCTAGTTTTCAACCAACACTTCTATCAACAAATAGTTATGTATATATATAACAACTCTTAATCATTATCAATTATGAAAAAAAATATTTTTTACTAATTCAGACTGTTCGAAAAAGAACAAAAAAAAAGTGAAAAAAATAATTTAATAATGAAAAGAAAAAATAAATTAAACTTGGATGCACACATAAAAATACAAATAATTAAATTAGTAATACATGATTGTATAAACAAGCCATTTATATAAGAATGAAACTCATATTTTCAATAATATTCAGAGAAGAAGGATGAAGAGTGATAACTGACATGGGTATAATAGAAAAGTAATATATAAAGTGTCTAACTTTTGTAAAAAAGTTAATTTTCGTGTTTTATGTACAAAAAATTTATGAATTTTTACATATAAATGGAGTTAGGGAGCCATATTTACTCATGGATGGAGTCAAAGTCTTATATTTTCACAAAAATGAGTTTGACCTAAATGATGACATGGCACATGAAGTTTTACTGTTTAAAATTTTTGTTACCTAAAATGCCCTTCTCCCTATTTCAATGCATTTACCTTATTACCCTTGTTTAGAAAACATGGTACGTGGAGGCCAAAAAGTGGTACCTTCAGTTCAAAAACGTGGTACCTTTAGAACAAAAGTGGTACCTTCGTAAAAGGAACTTGTTTTTGCAATTAAAAATGACATTAAACCCCACACCGCTAATTAAGTTGCACATTACATCCATAAACAGCTCCATTAGCGCCATAAATAGCACAAAATATTCTCCAAGCTAGCTAAGCGAGTGTTTAGAAAATATGGTACCTAAAGGCCAAAAAGTGATACCTTCAGTTCAGAAACGTGGTACCTTTAGAATAAAAGTGGTACCTTCGTAAAAAGAACTTATTTTTGCAATTGAAAATGGTATTAAACCCCACACCGTTAATTAAGTTGTACATTAGATCCATAAACTGCTGTTGAAAAATTTATAAACCTTCTTATTAAATAGAAGAGCCTAACATATATTTATTAAATAGAACAATCAAAATCCATTACTTTTCATTAAATCAAAACCATCAAGTAAAGTACCATGTCTACAAAATACTTTAAGTTACCACGAATGTCAAAAAAGTTATCATCCATCCAATCTAATAAAGTCAACAAGAAATAAAAAACTAAATCACTAAATTTAAAGGAACCAATCATCTTTTGCAAAATAAGAACACAATTATTAAGTTTAAACATTTATTAAGCCCCACTCATCCATACAAAGTCTTGATTGCAATATTAGCCCCCACTCGCCCATACAAAGTCTTGATGGCAAGAATCGATCCTCCAATCACACTATCAAAAAAAAAAAAAAAAAAAAAAAAAAAAAAGGTTACTACATTTAATTGTATCACATTAACGAAAAAATTAACCAACCTTAAAGAAGTAAGCGAAACGGAAAAGGTAAAGGAGAGGAACTGAAAACGTGGACAAATTTTCAAACTCTTAAACAAAGTGAAAAAATATAATTAAATGCATAAGATGAGGCATTCCAGAATTTCTAGACTGGGGCATTCCAAAATTTCAATAACACATCAGTATAATTATAATTGTATGTAAAGAAAAATATAATTCTAGACTGAGGCATTCCAGAATCTCAATAACATATTAATCTCTTTAAGTTATAATATATAAGATGTATGTTTGGATTCATGATAATCATTCTATTCTCATCATACAATTTATATATATATATATATATATATATATATATATATATATATATATATATATATAAGTAGCATTCTACAATTAATTAGGACCCAGATCTATATAAAAATTCTAAATGGTCTTCATGTATAAGAGGTCTAGAGACCAAATTGTCTCCCTACTATCATTGAAAAATTCTAAAGATTTAATTATGACCCAGATCCATATCAAACATGATCTTTGGATACCATAATTTTTTTAACAATTGAATTATTGAAATAGTTATTCAAAAGTCCCAAACGGCCTTGCCGATTAAAATGGTGTGAAAAAAAAAACCTACCATACTAATTATTTAGATGTAGTTTATGGCGCTAATGGAACTGTTTATGGATTTAATATGCAACTTAATTAGCGGTGTGGGGTTTAATACCATTTTCAATTGCAAAAATAAATTCCTTTTACGAATGTACCACTTTTGTTCTAAAGGTACCACGTTTTTGAACTGAAGGTATCACTTTTTGGCCTCTAAGTACCATGTTTTCTAAATACTTGCTTAGCTAGGTTGGAGAATATTTTGTGTTATTCATGGTGCTAATGGAGCTGTTTATGGATGTAATGTGCAACTTAATTAGCGGTGTGGGGTTTATTGTCATTTTCAATTACAAAAATAAGTCCCTTTTACGAAGGTACCACTTTTGTTATAAAGGGACCACGTTTTTTAACTGAAGGTAACACTTTTTGGCCTCCAGGTACCATGTTTTATAAACAAGAGTAATAAGGTAAATGCATTGGAATAGGGAAAAGGGGGCATTTTAGGCAACAAAAATTTTAAACAGTAAAACTTCATGTGCCATGTCATCATTTAGGTCAAACTCATTTTTGTGAAAATACAAGACTTTGACTTCATCCATGAGTAAATATGGCTCCCTAACTCCATTTATATGTAAAAATCCCGAAAATTTATACTATTATTTTCTTCGTTAGAGCTGGAATTGAACCTTGGACCTCCAAGAAAACAGCCAAAAACCCCACCATCTCAACTAACTTGTTCCTTGTGTTACTGTTTGCTGGAAAATACATATAACATTGTTTCCTGCAGCACCTTCTCTATATTTTGAGAGTTTTTCCCCTAATTTAGTCACTTATTACAAATAACTAAAAATACACAAATGCCAACTAATAAAATAAAATAACTAAAAATAAAATACTAACAAATATAAATTTGGGGATAAAATATGTAAGAAATCTGAGCTCATCAGCTACATATTATTTTATTTTTATGTGCTATGATAGGAGATTGAAATCTCGTGATCAGTGGTTAGGATGGAGGCGTACATTGCCAAGTTGAGATGGGTAACTGGATACAAGAATGTGTGTTCCCTCGTATAAGAAGGACTCATGACCATCTCTTGTGTGCTTTGCATGAGATACTCACTATTCGGTTGAGTCTGCCTTAGTCCAATAAGAGTCTTTAGTGTGTATATTTATATTTATCGATTATGTAGATATTGCATGAGTTAACTAGGGATGTATAGTTCATCAGGTCTCTATTTTGGTTGTTGTAGAAAGGGCTTGTTCGTAGGTTTTGACCCACATTTGTTATATTTTTCAGGTCTTAGTCAGTAGTAGGATTAAAGGTTGCTCGTGTAAATCAAAGATTTGTCTTCATTACTCTTCCGGTGTCGTCGTTGTAGGATTCAACTTCATATTTATTTATTTAGTTTTAGACATTTATTTTATTTCAATTATGAGATTTTATTTATGGTCCATGTTGATGATTTATGAGTTGTATTTTAGAGGATTATTTATGTTTGGGAATTAATGGATTTGTTCAGAAGATTTATTATTTAATTATTATTTAGTTTCCTTTTAGCAATATTATTTATTTAATATTTATTCTTTTGTATTATGTGCTTGTTTTGGAGTTACCGAGTCATTTTTACCCTATCTTGCTCACTCTTAATGTTTAGCAATGAAGTAATAAGGCCTTAAGGCCATTTTATTCTAATGTATGGTTTTCTCCCTCAATTAACATCTTTTCATAATTTTTGCATGCTTTAATCTTGTTTGTACACAAAAATTTGGATCATTTTTGTCCTTGACATGTTTTGGGAGCTTTGAATTGGGTAGATTCTTCATTTCGGACCTCTAAGACATGTTTATATGCATATTAGGTGAAGTTATAGGCTTTGAATCTTAAAAATGGGCCATTTTAGACATTTTTTAGTGTTTTGCCTAGGTTGAACCGATTTAGTACCTCAGAACCTATTCCATTGACTTTCTTTTGGTTCGTAAATGCGCTATTGCCCATGCTGAACCGGTTTAGTATCTCTGAACCGGTTGAGTTTACTGTTCACAACACATATTTGACCTTCTGAATTTAAACGGCCATAACTCATTTGTTTTAACTCTAAATTAGGTCATTCTTATGTCCAAAGTGACCGTCTTGAAACAAGCTTCCCAATGGTACTAGCCTTTTTTTTGTAAATTCCATACATATAAAAAGTTATGACCATTTTAGTAAGAAATATTCATGTTTCATATGTCAAAAATACCGAATTGTATCGAAATTATTCCTCTAACGACTATGGGACTATATATAGACTCGTTTGGAGCTTCGTTCATGGTCCATGTAGGCTAATAGGGTTTCTAACTTTCACATTTTGACTCAGATTTCGGGTCGGGTTTGTATCTTCTTAGTTAATGCATTGGATCATGGGATTAGCTAATAGATTCTTATGATAGTCATCACCAAAACTGGGGATTTTGTAAAGTCAAAGGGTAACAATGTCTTTTTAACATGTAAAAAGTGGTCTAACATAAATCAAAAGTAACTTTTGGGGTGTGAGTGAAAAACGGACCAAACGTTTGTAACGTGAGTGATAGTTATTTTTGAAATATATTTCAATGTGATATTTGGACAAACCCAAGAGGTTGACAATGTAATTAATTCAATATAATATTAAATAAGATGTAATCAAATTTTCAAATAAATCTATCAATATCATAAACCTAATAAGACATATAAATCATAACTTTTATTCAATTTAGAAAAATTGAAAGATAAAGAGAAAATGTTGTTCAATTTATAATTCAATTACTTTGTTTTCAAATTTTGAACAAAATAAAGTTCAAGCCAACAAAAAAAAAAAACTGTTACACCGATGCAGATTATAAATTAACAGAACAAAATTATATTAAAGTGTTTCATAAAATTATATTAAAGTGTTTCAGAAAATTATATTAAAATGTTTCAGAATTATTGAACATAGTAAATTATGTCACAATTTTTTTATTTACTGAATATTATGATTTCATTTCACGTGCATTTTCAAGTGAGTTTATGGATATGAATTGTATGTAAAGTCAACGACACAAATATGGGCATACAATAAATGACAACAAATATGCGAGACAGATCTTATATACTTTATTGGTGTGTGTATATACTAATATAGTAGCTCCTATGTTAGTATATACGGAGTACTCCATTAGAGAGAGAGAGAGAGACAGATTTTATATACTTTATTGGTGTGTATATATACTAATATAGTAGCTCCTATGTTAGTATATACGGAGTACTCCATTGGAGAGAGAGAGAGGGAGAGAGAGAGAGAGAGGTTGCGAAAATGAGTGGTGCGGGGAAGACCGTGTGCGTGACGGGAGCGTCTGGGTACATAGCTTCATGGCTCGTCAAGCTCTTACTCCAACGTGGTTACACTGTCAAAGCCTCTGTTCGCGATCCGAGTCAGTTTTATCTTTCTCTCTCTGGACTCTGAATCCTTACAGTTTTTAATTTTTGTATATATCTTCCAACAATCAATCATAGAATCTGGGTTATATCGATTGTTCATCATATGGTTTTTTTTCATCACGGCTCCTCAACTTTCAATTGTATTAGTTTCAAGAGAATCGAAATGCAATTTCCAATTATATTGTTCATCATGTAGGGTTTCCTGGAATACATCACTGGCTTTGCAATTGCTTATATGATGTTTGGAAGACATGGGTGGTTAATATTTTTGCATAATTTTTTTAACACTCTTTGAAATTATACTTCATAATTATTTTCAAATTTTAATTATATTAGTTTGACGAGAATTGAATAAGAATCAAGTCCTGATCTTGGCATGCAATCACACACATATATATATATGTATGTATGGGGTTGATCATAACATTTGATTGGTATAGGGTTTTTGAGATACTGAATAGATCATTTGGCTTTGTAATTGCTTATATGATGTTTGGAAGACACGGGTGGTTAATATTTTTTGCAGTATTTTTTTTTTTCCTTCAGTATTATACATACATAATCAATAACGTCAATTCGTAATTATCCAGTCTCAATTTGTCCTGGTAAGTATAAACTTAGGTTTGATTGGGCATTCTTTATTATGGTAGTGTTGTTTCAGCACCAATTAAGAATAAGTACCCAAAATTTAATATAGGAAAAATTATCAATAAATCCTATTTTTCTCTTTTAAAGATTATTAAGTCGTATAAAGTTTATATAAGACCATGAAGTCCTACCTTTGTAACCTTTTTCAATATAAGTTTTGGACCTCTCAATCTTCCATTTATACCCATATTAAATTAGAATTAATTTTTTTTTTCTGCACAGATTGATTTTAATTTTTTTTTTAATTATTCAAACATGCTTGATATTTTCTTAGAAATTGAATTTTTTTGGTTTATAAATTTTAGGTATTTTTTTTAGTATTTTTTGTGTATTTATAAATTTCAACTATTATTTTGATTAGTCTTTCTAGAGGCAGAAGAAAATTATTAATTTTTGTTTTCAAATAAAAAATAACATTACTATTTCATAGAATAATTTTAACCCTTTTAGAAAAAATTAAAATCGGATATAAATATTCAATAAAAAAAAATATACAATTAGAAATTATAAAGGGTTAAGTTGGAAGTTTGAGAGATTTTGAACTACTGTGGAAATGTCTTACTGGTAGTTGATAGCAGGTCTTGGTCAATAGAAGAAAAAGTAGGACATATGGGAGTGGCCCAGCTAGAGGGAGGCTAGCCCTCCAATTATTTTTCCAAAATCTTATTTATCTATTTTTTGGTAAGTATTTTCAGAATCTTATTTATGCTTTGCCTATTAATGGTTATTTATGGTGAGTTTGCAAAATAAAATTACACATAGACCTCCCAAATATTTTTAAAAATCCTATTTATGGTTCCCCATTATGGGAATGGATAATCGAAAAAGGCTAAGGAATGACACTTCAATATGACCAAAAGGGCCCCTAGCCCAATGGTATGATCTCTCCTTCCTAAATCGGGAGGTTGAGGGTTCGACTCCTACTAAAGACATGTTGTCGATAATGGGAGTGTGTGTTTGCTTTAATTTACATTTATGCAGGTAGATCCATGTACTGAGTGTGTGTTTTCTTTAATTTACATTTATGCTGGTAGATCCACGCACTATGGAAACCATATACTTAATAAGACGATTAATAGAAGAATGAAGAAGTACTCAAAAAGATTTATACATAGTTTCATGATAGAGTGCTAAGGGACATAATCTGGTGGGCTCTACAAAGAAAATAAGTATGATAGAGTTCACTCGAAACTTCACAACCTCATTTATTGACTGTCAGCATGTTCTTCTCTTTATTTTTTGCATCTCATATCAGTTTTCAGTCTCTATTCAATTAAGTTGTATTCTCATTTTATTTATTTATTTATTTTTAAGGTTATATATTCCTCATTCCTAAGTTATTAAGAAAAAAAAATACAAAACGTTTATATACCTCATTTTTAGTTGATTAAGAATATAAAAAACACTATCATGCTGTCAATCCCATTAAACTCTGCACCCTTATGACCATTAGATTGCAAAGCTGTGAGGTCAGCTTTATAAGGATGCAGATTCAATGAGAGTATTGTCATAATATACAAGCTCTTTTAAGAATATAAATTTAGAATTGTATTGTCAATAAAAATTGTTATAATTATTTTGTAAATTTTAAAATTTTAATTTCATGTTACTAGTCTGCCACCCCATGACCCCAAACGAACATTTCTGGTTCTGCCCATGCTTACATATGATTTTTCTTTTTACTGGTGTTTCTTCCTTTAATACAAGTATACTAACAATGGACAGATTTGATTCAACTTTAGCAAATCCATAAATTCAAAACTAATTATAGAAAGCCAAAAATGAATCCAAAAAAGTAACCACTACTACAATAGCGTGATGTAAGTGAAGGGTATTATGTTAGCACAACGTGAGCAATACCGTTACAGCAGCAGACTTTGTAATTAGCCGTAGTAACTTCTCTACTTTTAAAAATAATTACAATAAAAAAATTCTAAAAGATATGACAGAGATTTAAAATGAAGTAATAATGAAAATTTAGATGGACACTTTTTCTTGGACCAAAATAATTTCTTAGTTGCAGTGAAGGCCAAAGCCTTAAGTGTTTGGCTAGCAAAGAGGGTAAGTCTCTCTAACCAAACAATTCCCCTAATTTTGAATAATAGAGTTAAATTATGCTGTGCATGTACATTCATTTTGCATTGATGAAGGAATACATCAATAAAAGCTTATAGGGATAGGCTTGTAGCCTTTAAAGAATGAAATCCTGAATAGGTTGCAGCAAACTTATTGGTGAAAGTTTCTCTCCTGGCAACCAATGGTTGGCTGCTTGCCAAGAAGACTTGATTCAATTATTACTCATAAATACCATGATTTAGAAATTTCAATCATTAAGGCTAGATTCTAGAAGCAAATGGTATATGCTAGAAGCATTTCAAAAAAACAGTAGAGAAGGAAAACACAGCAAACTTTGAGAAGTCAGCTTGCATTCTGCAAATATTGTTTCCAAAGCCCACCCTATGAGAACTGTTAACATCATATGGTATCTAGCAACCCTCTCAGACCATATTCAGTTCCACATTCTTCACATATCGGCCTCTTCTGTAATTCTATACAGTTACTTCCCTAATGAAACTTGGTTGAATACACTGAGCTTTGTAGACCCAAGTCTCCTTCATGTAAAGAGAAACACACTATGTCCTAGTATGCAAATTGTTAACTACCATCTACTCTAAAAGCTTAGGCTGTTATAGAGGGAGTAACTTAAATATATAAATCCTTCAACACGCCCCCTCACGTGTGGCCTTCTTTTAGGGTGACAGTGAGGTTAAAACTCGAGACCTTTGGCTCTGATACCATATTAACTACCATCTACTCTAATAGCTTAAGCTGTTAGAAAGGATGTAACTTAAATATATAAATCCTTCAACACAACTGACACTTAAACTTTCTTCCTATCATCACTATAGGAAATCTCTATGAAGCTTCTGTAATCTCTTTGCTACTGTTACCACAATGGTAATGATAGGAATGAAATATGTTGGATAGCTAGATAGTGGACTCTTTGATAAATTTAAGGCTACTCCCTTTATAAATAATCTTTCTTCCATCTTGATAATCTCCTCTTAAACTGCTCCAGCACAGTATAGCAAACCATCCTTGCCTTAAAAGACGATCCAAGCAGATGGCCTTGCTTTTACATTCTCATTTTTCTCGAAGCTAGGCTATGGAATATTGTCTATATTATGTTCATCTCTCTGGCATCAACTGTATCAGACTGGCTGCTGATTTTAACACATTTTTTATTGAGTCCAATCTGTATACTCTTGCAGACGATCCAAAGAAGACAGACCATTTACGTGCACTCGATGGAGCTAAGGAGAGGCTTCAAATGTTCAAAGCAAACCTTCTGGAAGAAGGTTCCTTTGATGCTATGGTTGATGGGTGTCAAGGGGTTTTCCATACAGCATCTCCTTTTTACCATGCAGTCACAGATCCGCAGGTTCTTTGTATTCCATTTTTGTTTATATGGTTATGTCTTTCACGTATGCTTAAACTGGCATTATCTGATGAAATGGTGCAAGAAACCCCAAAAACGAAACAACAATAAATTTGTAAAGTTTTCCTTTAAAAGTAGGGATCTATATGTTGTTGTTACAGTATAATGACTAGTAATACTGATCGGAAACTTTTGGTCTGATTATAGAGAGAAGTGAGACAGATACAAAATGTAAGTTAATTGCTGTACCAGCTTCTGCATAAATAAATCGAAGTCTAAGCTTGGCCAAAAACCACCTCCACCCTGATACCAGCAGTGTTGATGCTTAAACAAAGATATGTATATCTACATTGTCCTTTCTAAACTTTAACTGGGAAAGTTGGATAAAGTCTGTAATAAAAAGATATAAACAATAAAATATAATAGGAATAAAAAGAATGGAGAAAGAGAATTCATGTGGGATATATTCAAGGATGATGATGATGAAGATGAAAGTTGGATAGAGTCTATAATTGTTGTTTTTGATGGCCTTTGCCACCAACTTCTGCATGAGTCAGTAAGCCTGGAATTCAGCCTCCTTTACATTATTAAGGTTTTAATCATACAAGTTGGTATGGTATCAAAACTTTCCATTGTTGTTTGGTTACAAACGTTCTTCCATCTCACAGTAGTAGTTAATTTTTTTTATATTTCTCTGGTGCTCTTTGATTGACATTGTGTTCTGGAGAATAGGTAGGACATATTTATGGGTCATTGATTGGTGCACTGGTAACTCTCGGGCTGCCTTTAATGATATCTTACTTATCAAAAAAAGATTCTCGGGCTGTCAATTGTGGTAATGCGGGTTTGAATACTTAGAGCAACCACTTTTTGCAAATAATTCCAAAGGTTATGTTGGTATTTGCTCCATCCCTCCCAGCACCCTTGATTAACAGGGATCACATTGGGTAATGATCTTTTCTATATGTAGATGGAATTTGAAGCAGGTTTTAATTTAGGGTTATATTTTCCCGGATCAAAAGGAACCCTTCATCCCAAAACCAATCCTTCATAATCCTTTCATCTTTTCCTTTAGATCAGGTGTGGCTAGTTCCTAACTGGATACGGAAATAAGTACCCAGAAGCTGTTCATTTTGGTCTATAGACCAAAAACATAGCACCAGAACCCTAATTTAAGCTCATGAAAACTGATTAGTTGGTACTGAAAAAGGTCCAACATTCCTTGGTATTAACTCTGTTTAGATTTGAATCCTATCAAAGACCACATTGGTTTCATCATTGAATTGGTGATAGCTAGACAGGTGATGTAAGATTTTTCAGGGCTAAACTGGAAGTCAAATGATTATGAAGAGAAATGGGGGAAAAGAGATGACCTGGCCTGAAATCTGTACTACCCTGAAGTGCATGGCTCTTGGGTCGTGGATTAATAAAGAGGTGATGGTAGTGGTGCATTAGTTCATCCACCTCCACTTTGGATTCAACCCCCAGCGATCTCCCACTCCCACCCCCACCACTTCTCTTTCTTTCTCTGAAGTTATTTGTATTCTTTTCCAAGTCCTAGTTGCATGACTGGAAAGTGGAAACTATATCCTACTTGTGAAGGCTGATTGGGAACTATAGACAATGTCTTTGAACACAGCATTCATTTTACAAATTACAACTTTTGGGATTGATATTGATATGTTTTGCCATTTAGGTAATGCTCCTTGCATTAGTTCCGGATTGTAAAAAAGAACAGTGTGCTGATCTTTACATAGTCTTCTTTGCTAGTGGGCTTGTTCCCATGTGACATACGGAAAGGTCTTGATCATAATATTGATAAGAGTGATCATTATAATGTTATATGAACATTGATGGTATTATTCAATCTGTTCTTCTTCAATAAATTGGCTTCTTATCACCTTCATAGTAAAAATAATTAATGTTGTACTAATTACTCAACCTCTCTCTCTCTCTCTCTCTCCTATACAGGCAGAACTAATTGAACCTGCAGTAAAGGGAACACTTAATGTCCTCGGGTCATGTGCAAGATCTCCATCTGTTAAAAGAGTGGTTGTGACGTCTTCTATTGCTGCAGTTGCATACAGTGGGAAGCCTCGGACTCCTGATGTGGTGGTTGATGAGACTTGGTTTTCTGATCCTGAGGTTTGTAAGGCATCAAAGGTGTGTACCCACTTGTATTATTATTATTATTATTATTATTATTATTATTATTTCATGATTCTGATCATGCATGTGAAAGCACAATCTCTCATACACTTGTATCATTATAATGGTGCCATTTTAACAAGAACAATCACTTGATACTTCGTCCACATACCATCTAGATCAAAGAGCAAGTCTATTATGAGGTCGATTCCATGGTTCTTGTCAAGAGTTCCACTTTAGAATGTCACATTTTGAGCACGGAAACAATGCTGGAGCAACATCATGATGTTGCCCATATTAAAGTGGTCCTACTATAAAAAACATTGTATCAAAATACCTTAAAGCAAAATCATACAAGTTGGTGAAAGATGATAGTTTGATTTCGTGAATTTGGTCAAAGGACAGGGAATATAAAAGTTTGTCTGGAGCGTGTGATCTATTGTAACTGAATTTTGGTGATAATTTTTGACTGTATCCTCTTTTATCTGGTGCGTATTTTGACATTTGGTCAAACAGCAGAGAATTCATGACTATTGTAATGAGGTCAAACCTCATTATAGATTTTCTCCTTGATCAAATAAAATAGAAGTATCAGTATTTCATATTTCTAAATCTTAAGTGGGTTGCATTGGTTTCAAAATGGAAGTTGTTTTTACTTTTTGACTAAACAATTCTCTTGACATTCTATAATTTTACAGCTGACAGCAACTCCAATGAATAATTTTATGTGGTTGTCAATGTTGTTGTCAAGATTGTTCTTTGAGTCCTTGGAAACAAACTAGAGATGTTAACAGTTGCAGTAGTAGAAGAGTAGAAATTTTCAGCAAAATAATAGAATTATTGTTTCTGTTCCTTTTATTTTGCTTATCAAAATTCTTATTTTCTGGTTCCGAGATAATCAGGTCACTGTTATATATATATATATATATTTTATATTTCAATATCTTTAACAAGTTGTTTTTGTAAGTCAGGAAAAACAGTTTCAGAGAGAATGGGATTCGGTAAAGGGCCTATAGTCTCCCAAAAATTGTCTTCTTCCCTTTCTCTCTCCCTTTGAAGATAATTTTTGCTAAAAAAAGATTGTTTTCAAGAAATTGAACATTCATACTCACATGAATTTTTTTCGTTTGTGGATTATAGCACTTATATCCTCTTTTATGTGGAGCTTAACCTATAAAGACACATTTCTCAGCTCTCGGGTCAAGTTTAGAGCGAAACGTGCTAGGTATATGAACAAAAACAATGCAGCCAAAAAATTTCAATGGTAAATCTAAGTTAATTCTACATTCGGGAAAGGTTTGTTTGAAATAACCTAAGAGTGTGACATATTTAAGAACACGGGTAGGCATCCTATTAATTAAATAGGATGCTGTTAAAACAGCCTCTCCCCATAAATATTTTGGCACACGCATAGAAAACATCATGGCACGAGCTACCTCAAGTAAATGTTCGTTTTTTCTTTCTGCAATTCTATTTTGTTGAGGAGTATCCTGACAAGTAGATTGACGTAAAATACCCTTTTCCTTTAAAAAATTTCCCAAATGTTCATTGAAATACTTAGTTCCATTATCGGAGCGTAGTATACTAATTTTTGACTGAAATTGGTTTTCGACCATTTTGTAAAAATCTTTAAACAGTTTTTCAACTTCAGATTTCACATTCATCAAATAAACCCAGCATAATCGAGTGTGATCATCTATGAAAGTTACAAACCATTTTTTTCCAGACCCTGTGGTAACCTTTGAGGGTCCCCACACATCACTGTGAATCAAGTAGAGAGGTTTTGAAGCACGATATGGTTTTGAAAAAAAAGTAGTTCGATGACTTCTAGATAAATGACAATTCTCACATTGAAAGGAATAACAATCCAAATTTTTAAACAAACTAGGAAACAAATGTTTTAGATAAGGAAAACTAGGATGTCCTAGTCTCAGATGCCAAAGCAGTATTTGTTCACGAGTAGAAATTGAACTAATACTATTATTAAAACCATGAGCTATTTTATTACTGGAAAAATTGTCATTGAAGTAGTAAAGACCATTGATCATCTTAGCACTGCCAATCGTCCTACCCGAGTTCTGGTCCTGAAATTCACAATAAGAATCAAAGAAGATAACTCGACAGTTAAGTCTTTAGATAATTTGTTGACAGATAACAAACGGCAGGCCAATTTTGGAACATGAAGGACAGAATTCAGAATTATATTTTTTGAGATTTTTATTTGGCCTTTTCCTGCAATAGGGGAAAAACTACCATCGGCAATCCTAATTTTTTCATTCCCAGAACAAGGTGAATAAGTGTAAAAAAGGTGAGAAAGAGACGTCATATGATCAGACGCCCCGGAGTCAATAATCCATGGTGCAAAGTCTAGGCTACAAGATAAAGCATTAGGATTTCTACCAGTTTCAGCAAGGAAACCACCAGGAGTACCTAGTGAAGAATTGGACTTTAGCAATTTGAGAAGATGATCCATTTGCTCCTTGGAGAAGGGACCTGTTTCAGCTTCATTTGCTGAAGGGAATGAACGATTAGATCTATCGCCCGGCTTGCTGCTTTTCCCTTTCCATGGATTTTCCAGCAGGTTTCTCGGGTATGATGTGGCCTATTGCAGAAATCACACCACACCCGAAGCCTCTCATCCTGCCTTCTCTGATCGGTGGCAAATACCTTTTTCGCACTTGGATCGAATGCAACCAAGGCTGAGTTCTTGACAGGTGCAACAACTCCCTTTTCTCTTAGCATGACATTTCTACGGCTTTCTTCACGTCTAACTTCAGCGAAGACTTCACCAATTGAGGGCAAAGGCTGTTGGCCAATTATTCTCCCCCTAACTTCGTCGAATTCGACATTTAGACCTGCAAGAAACTTTTAAATTTGATTATTCTCCACCATCCTTTTGTTATGATCACAATCTTTTGGCAATTTCCATTCGTAGTCATTGAACAGGTCAAAATCTTGCCACAGCCGCTTCAAAGAATTGAAATACTTGGTGACTTTGTCCTCTCCTTGTCGGATTTTACCAAGTTTTAGTGTCAACTCAAAGATTTGGGACTGATTTCCTAGATCAGAATACATCTGATTAACATTGTCCCAAAGTTCCTTGGCTGTCGGATAGCACATGTAATTGCAGCTGATATCTTCCTCCATGGAATTTACGAGCCAAGTCATGACCATGGAATTTTCCGCATCCCAGGTTGAATACGCCGAGTCTTCTATTTTTGGTGCCTTCTTATCTCCTGTCAGGTAACCAATCTTTCCCCATCCACGGATGTACATCCGGATAGACTGAGACCAACGCAAGAAGTTATCACCATTCAATTGAATATTGGTGATTTGGAGAGAGTGTGAATCAGAGTTAGAAGCATGGATTGTAGGAGTTTTTGATGGGGCAGTGGAAGAAGTGGAATCAGATGAAATTTTTGACATGGTGAAGGACTGCTGGAAGTAGAAAAAAAGTTTCGGTAAGAGTCAGAGATCAGGTCCCTGCTCTGATACCATGTAAAATGTATTGTATTGAATGAATTACAATGAATGATACAAGAGGTATATATAGGAAAAACCTAATGGGTTAGGTGAAGTTAGGCAAGGTGTGAACACAAGGTAAGGTGTGAACACAAGCTTGGTGTGCTTCTATTAAGCATGCTACTAGAAGGTGACAATGTTAACTATACAATGTTGAATCTAACATTGTACACACAAATTTTGTAAGTCTGCAATAGAAACAAAATATGGGCAAAATATAATTTTATTAATAAATAAAGATGGGGTACAATCCTTTGTAATATTCTTTACAAAAAGAATGGTCCTCTGATTCTATCTCCTTTTTGTTGTTGGTTAGATCCAAGGGCTGCATGAGCTTGTTCTTGAATCGTCTTGGAATTTGGGTGAGGAATGGCAGGATTTGATGTGCTTGGTGTTCTTCGCCTTTGGATTTGGATGTAGGGGATGAGAGCTTCTGTATTTCTCTCTGGAATTCTGGATCTCTGAATGCAGAATTTTTGTACCCCTTCTCCCTTCCTCCAGGCCTCTATTTATAGGCTTCTTGGATCCATAGGATGATGACACGTGTCATCTCCTGATAAGGATAAAATAATAACTGGGCGGGCCGGTTATATTATAATAATTATCCTTAAAAATAATTATTCCAAATATATTTTATTAGGAATAATTACATTTATATTTAACCATCTGGGCTTGGCTAATTAAATAATTTAAGTGGACCAAACTTGGGCCAATTTAATAACTTAATTAAACATTAGGCCCATATTTAAGGGGTCCATTTGTCAAAATCAAAGCCCACTAAAATTTTAATGTCTACAAACATTCAACTATTTACAGCTAGAAGTCAGCTTTACTAATTTGTAGTTGACAACAATAAATAACCTTTTTCAACAAAAGATATTGAAAATGAAGTTCCAAGTCAAGGTTTGCCAAATGCAGAAAAATCACAAACAGGGGGAGAAATACTACAGGAAGATCAAATTAAACCTGAGCTATTGGTTTATACTCGGGAAAAAAATCAGCGAGGAAATAAAGACCAACAGATCATCCAACCACAAGGTCAATCAAAATCTCCAAGTGAAGGTCCTCTGGGTAGTTCAGGTAATTCTAATCCCATTCTCCTTCCAATTTCTATTCCTATCATAACTCCTCCATCATTTTCATTTGATTTTACCTCCGATTCTGTCCCTCCTACTGCCTTACCAAAACCGATTCCCACAGATCTTGACATTCCCATAGCCATTAGAAAAGAACCCGAGAATGCACCAAACACCCCATTACCAACTATCTATCCTATCGCAGGCTCTCCAATAGCCATAAAGCATTTACTTCTAAAATATCTAACCTGTTTGTGCCAAGAACCATCAAGGAAGCTCTAGATGATCCGAATTGGAAGTTAGTAGTTATGGAAGAGATGAATGCTTTGAGGAAAAATGGTACTTGGGAAGTAGTTTCAATACCAAGGGATAAGAAGATTGTAGGGTGTAAATGGCTGTTTACAATAAAATGCAAGG